GCCGCAATGGGCTGTTGGTCGTTAATGCGAAATGGAATTCAATTAGCTAAATGACCAGTATTCAAATCGAATTTTATGGGAATAATAGACCCCCAAGTACGCGCTATGCATAATGGCATAATGGTGGTTCCCTTGGACAGCGTGTAAATAATTCACAGGCCGTATGCAGCGCCACTGGGCGTGGTCTTTTGGCCAAGCCCCAGGTGTGGGGCTCTTTGTTAACTAGACAAAGTATGCTTAAACATGCCTGGGGGGGATTTCGGGGACTGGGACGGGAATTCGAGGAGATAGGCACAAAATTAATTATGAAAATTTTCACTTTACGGCCGCTTTTGGTTACTTAGCCTAATGCGTTTATTTGTCGTGCTTAGTTTAATTATGGCAAAATAGAAGCGTTCTCGTATTTCAATTGAGTTTAATTCTGTGTGTCGGTGAAACACAATACACAGAGCAATGCCCATAGTGAGTGGTGGGACTTAATTATCAGCAAACTATTTTCTTTGATTTGGCTCTCTGAGCTGGTCTGCATGACATTCGATAGAGACTGAGGTTTGAGGTTTGCCTGCTACTGTCATGTGGCGGAAAACAATTTGCTGCTGAATTGCTGCATGGCTTCGCCTGTTGATTTCCTGTCATCTGTTTTCTGGTTGAGTGTGTGTTAGTGTGTGTGGCAGGATAAATGCGTTTTTATATGAAACTTCCGACACATTTCACTTAATGGCTCCGTTAGATTTCCGGTTCTTTTGTACCACCTTCTGATTTTTCCCGCCTTGAAAGGTATTTAATTGCATTTTATTATTATACTATTTAATTGCATTTGTCATGGGAGCTCAATTAAATTCATTGTTACAATAGCGTATGGCTCCTTTGTATTTATTTAATAGCCGTGTAATTAATAAACAAGATCTTTACACTTAAGGGCATCAAAATGTTATATATTATTGTAATGCCAATTAATTCAATTAATTCGTTGATTTACAGGACTTCATTTGTATTAAAATACAAGCTGGTGCTCGACATCAAAATGGAATTTCATTTGCCATTGCAAATAAGCCCAGTCCTGTGACAGCCATCTCCATTAGGGTCATCCAACTATTCCAGGGCCGAACCCAATTTAAGGCGGGGGAACGGGAAATCCACGCCCCAGGCGCGCGGGTTCGTCTTGGCAAACACATAAAAATACTCGCAAATAACAATAAAACCTAGGAAATTATTGATACGAGCCAGGCAAACAGGCATGGAAATTGCTTACCAATGCGCAGAACGCCACGTGTAAGGACTCTACTTTGGCGAGGCCAGACAGCTGAACTAAGCAAATATGAATAGGCTAGATGGAAGGCATGTCATGCATGCTTAGGAACCACTAATATCAAAACAAATATCCCGGCCCACGTAGACCAAGTTTTATGCCAAATACTTTAAGGCAAACTTTATTAGCTCGCAAATACCTGAGATTTCACCCCGTCTGAGCGGAAAATAAGGAAAATCAGGCAGGCTTCTGAAAGCCCTGGGCCAAAAGGAAACTCTAGACAAAGCACCTTCTTTAGCAAGGAGAATGGAAAAGGGCAGCTGTGCCTACATTAGAGAAATGTAATTGATTTCATGTGTTTGACGCGCTTTTCCCCAAGGACCTCTAATAATCCCATCCAAGCACGCAGACAAACAGAACCGAAATTAAAGGAAATCCTAGGAAAATCCATTGAATTGGTTCTACTACACAGGTCAAAAATGTATTAAATATTAAAAGATTTTATAAAATGTATTAATGGCTCAAAATATGAGATTAATAATCTTATTATGGCAAAATATTTTGTTATAGAGTACATTTTGAAGCACCTAAAAATTCTTTCACTTTGAAAACTAAGCTTTTTCCATTTGCTAATATTTTTATAAATATTTTCTTTGGGTGTACAATTGAATGTTGTGTGCAGTGAATACGAAATAGGCCAGCAGAAGTCATCTGATTGATCATTCACCACAGACTTGGCCAATTTCATAACATTGCTCCTCCCCCAGGGCCTGAATGTTATTGCCCGTAATACATTTACGCGATAATAAAATTAAAAAATTGTGCCCTCACAACTGTCACAGATTCGCCGACGCGTAGGTGAGGCAATATCTGCATATGGAATTTGAAATGTCGAGATTATTAGCTACCTGAGCCCTCGTTCCACCGGCTGAAAACTTTCTGTGTTTCTGGCATGTCAACGAAATTTATCACAGACTCACATTTGTAACTCACGAAGGATAAGGAGATGTAGACATTTGCATGTCTCGCTCCCCGAATTATTCATATTTTGGCTGCGAGTGGCATACTTCAGGCACCCGCACCTTCCCTACATGTGTTACTATTAATTCTGAGTTCCTGCTGGCAAATGGAAGGCGAAGCGTGATCCTGGGCCAGGACATTAGCTGCAGCTCAAGGTGCTCAGGCCGAGTTGTGGAATGCGTGACAGGTGATTGAATGTTATTTGATGCGAAATTCGCTTTATTGTTTGGCCCAAGAATTTATGCAAATGTCGCAATTTGGCGGCTGTCAGGAAAGTGGCAGCAAATGAGATGTGAAATTAAAAGGAATTGAATTACATTAAGCTTAAAGAAATAAAGAAAAACACTACCATGTGAAAGTAAACTTATTTCTTAAAGTGTCTTTGTGCGCTGATTAACGAGCCACCAGTAACGAACTCTTATTGAATGTGTTCGTTATTTAACGCTTGGTTTGACTGAAGTATTTCTTTTGATATATTAAAAAGCTTCACCTGCTCTTGAACATAAATAACCATGCAAGGATATGAACAGTTCCAAGTGTATTTTCCACTTTAAGTGGTCATCGATAATTACACGTGAAAGCATGGGAATTTCATTATTCTCAAGTATGGAAATGCATACTCGATGTAGCCTTAATTTATGGACGGGTAATATATACGCCGCTTAAAGGTCGAATTTACACAAGCACTCGACGAAGTCGTCAATTTTATGCGACTGTAAGTCCCTTCGATGGAAATCAATTTGCACAACAGACCAAAAGAGGATGAATGGAAAAAGCCAACAAATTGATATCGTCTGCTGCCCTTAAAGCACAACTGGTATTATACACAATATTTCAGCGAAAAAAAAGCGAAACTTAACGAAAATTCAAATCAGCAAAAAGGGACAAGGCAAACGAACCAAATGCTCAATCAAATCAAAGTCCCCCGTACAAAATGCAAAATAAGACAATGACAAAGCGGATGGGAGTTGAGTTGGCCCAGACAGAAATGGGTTCGGATGTTATGGGGTTGGGTGGCATGCGTTGGGTGGGGATCCCCGTAATGCCTCGGTCTGAACATTGTCCAACAAAACACGTTGAGACAAGTGTCACTGACAGCTGGAGGCAGTGTTCGTTATGCAAAAAATGTTCAAGCAAGAGAGGAAAATTACGTGCCCTTCGCTGAAATCGGAAAGATTCGATGCGATGGAAAATCTTTTAAAAATTCTTGGATTAGGTTTCTAAGAATGTATGGGAAAGAACCTTTAAGCCGTTTGGATTAATATTCAAAAATTCATAGAAAAAGAGTTAAGTTATACATAAGTTATAAATTTGAGTCAATAGTGTATGCATTGATAATAGATTATTCCTTAACAAAAATTGAAAATTTAAATTGAAATTAATGTTATGGAATGGAAAATAAAATTACGTTAAATTATTTACAAACTCATGATCAAAGTTTAAGTAATTTATATTTATTTTTTAAAGCACATTAATTGAAAATCTAAGCAAACATTATGCATTTTTGACTGCCGTTGCAACACATTAAAATCAAAGTTGGGATTGCTAAATCCTTTGCAGTTATTTAATTAAGTAATATGTACAGAGCAACCTGGAGATGTAGGCTTGCTTCAATCAAGATTTCGTGTTTTCAAATTAATGGCTGATAGTCATAGTTAAGAAAACAGTCTTACCGACAAAGTCGTAATGCCCGAATCACAGGAAGAGCGATTGCCGGATGAGAGACACTGACAGAGGAACGACAACTGTAATCAAAATAAATTACGAGTGTGTAAGCAGCCTCCGGTGTCTATTACGAACAATAAAAAGGGAAAGCCCCATTTGTTTAACGCAATCTCATTATTCGATGCGTCCCGACAGCCAGCGGCGCAGATGCTGCAAGCCGGGTGGTTCAGGCCACCCCGACACCCGGAACCCGCGATACCGCGACAATGACAGACTTTGGGGCTCACCCACCCACTGACCCACTCAGCCGTCGAACCACCACCGACCCACAGACATCCAGTGTCATTCCGGGTTACCTTGATAATGCCGCTGATTATACTGATGATAAGTAATTTTATAAACTCCAACTGCAGGCCATGTCTAAAGTGGCGTTAACGCGTTTGTTGATTAGTGAGGCGGCTGAAAGTGGGAGTGGGTGGGAGTTGGGTGGGTGGGCGACAAACTTGGGGGACTGGGACCACCGACAAGCTCATTACGACGCCAACAATTTGATTAATTACCGTTGGCAATCCTCCGACCTTTTCGCTTCTTTTCCACTACCCACAGCAAAGGATTTCTTGCATTTTACTCCTCCTGCGGCGGTGGCGGGTAAAATTTTATGCAAATTTAATTTACCTCAGGGCAATCATTTTTATGGGCAAATGCCCAAGGGCCACGCCCACTGTATCCCAATATTCGGGGGACTTTGACAGTTATAAGCTGGGGACTTGGTTGACATCAAGGAATATTTTTTATAATTCATAAATAAAATATATAATATACAAAATAATTCTCTAATCACTTAAAGTGGAAAAATAAATACAATTTATTTGCTGTGCAGTTATTCCCAAACATGACAATCATTAAATTGAATACAACAAAACATTTACTTAGCAGTAAATTGTAAAATGAGGTTGTCAAATATAAAACTAAGCGATTAAAAACCAATTTAAAATATCTAAAGTGTCGAAATCATAAATGCGACACAAAGCACATCAATTATTAAAATTAGATTTAACCATTAAAGCTATGCAAGCAATAACTCTGTGAACCCAAACAATTTGAGCCGGGTCGGCTAGTTGAAAACGTTTATGTGAAAATCTGAATAAATTCGAAATCGCATCATTTGCAAGTGCAGACACGGCCAAAATGCAAAAGCGTAAAAAAACCCATAAATTGTGAGCAATCAACAAAAACAAAGCCCAAAATGCGTGCCACATATCGCGACCAGCAATTGAACAGCCAGCTAATCCGAAGCGTATCCAACCCAAATCCGCGCATATTCAAATAAAAGCGTGCATCGTGCAAATACAGAAATATATTGAGCTGAATCACATAGCCAAGGCCAACATGAAAACAATCTGCGACAGCAAATGGCATGTGCAAATTTGTGTGCTGCTGCTCCTAGTTGTCCTGCCCACCTGTCACATCCTGCAGGCCGAGAGCCAGGAGGTGGTGGGCGACATTCAGCAGGAGGCCGCGGAGGTGGCGTCGCGTCATCATCGCAGTGGCAGTCGCAGTCACAATGCCAACGGCAACGGCGCTGGCGATGGCGATGGCAATGGCAATGGCAATCATCCCGGCTGCGAGCACCTCCATCATCGTCAGCATCACCGGGGCAAGCATCACGGCCCGAAGCACAGACAGAGCCATTACGAGATCCTGGAACTGGAGCAACGGCAGCAGCAGCTGGGTAAACACTGGCGCCAGTGGGTAAATCACCTTCAGTGGCCGGATTACGCCAACGATGATCCATCGCCGGGTGGCAGGCATCGTGCTAATGGAGGGCTGTCCTACGACCACTTCGATGTGGAGGACTTCCAGCGGCATGCCAGCATTGACTTGGCAGCGCCGCGCTCCGGTCGCCACCGCGGACGCCACCTGCCCCTGGGCAACCTCAACCTGGACGGGAGCGGCAAGTACCTGAGATCCCTGCCGGATGCGGTGAGCTTCCAGAACGATCGGCTGTACGCCACCCAGCCCCAGAGGCACTGGCCCGTCAAGCGGGAGGCCATCGTGGAGGGCGACGTGATCCTGGGCGGCCTGATGATGGTCCACTCGCGCGAGGACAGCATCACCTGCGGCCCCATCATGCCCCAAGGCGGCATCCAGGCCCTGGAGGCCATGCTCTTCACAATCGACAGGATAAACCGGGAGCAGTTGCTGCCGAACATCACCCTGGGCGCCCACATCCTGGACGATTGCGACAAGGACTCGTACGGCCTTGAAATGGCCGTGGATTTTATCAAAGGTAAGTAGTTTCTGAAACAAGTCACTGGTACATCTAAGCCTTTGATCTGAAATATGTGCATTCAATACCAAAAATACAGCACACCAATACTTGTGTAAGTACTTTCATTTTGATTGATTAGGATGCACATTATCAAAAACTATCTGTAGTATTTGTTTATACATTTTATCCATAATTCTTACTAACATTATTTTTTGGATAAGCGCAGAAAATTACTCCACACTTAGTATGAATGCATTTATTGAAAATGCAAATCGCATAGCTAATTGGATATTTATGGGTAATTTTTCCAAATGCTTTTAAATTCAGTTTGAATATGCGGTCGCTGTTTCGCTGTACGCATTGCTCATTCGCCACGTAAAACATCCCTGTTGTTGCTCGTATCTATATGCAAATTGTGTTTGCCTCGGGTTTTGGAACTTATGCTGATTTCATTGTGAGCCAAAGGAGTTTTGGTTGCAGTTTTGGTTTCAGTTGCATCACGTTGCTGTGTTGTGAAAACTGCAGGCAGAATATGTTTGCGAATTTATTCGGGCAAATAATAACCCAAATTACATACCGGTATACATGGGAATCGTGCCGCTTATAACTTACCTCTTTCTTTGCTCATATGAAATATGTACTTTATCCTCATAGCAAATTCTCTTACTAAGCTGGCGGCAAGGATTTCATTAGTTTACTAAATTAATAAATAAATTATGGGATTTCCCGACGAGAGATTGGAGCTCTCGCAACTAAATATTCATAATTCCTTTAAGACAAAACGGCGGGGCTTATTGAGATTGCCTCGCAGGAGGAGCACTGGGGGAAGATCAAGGACACATAAAATGCCGCTTATTACTTTTATCGGGCCAAACAAAGAGGCGCACAAACGCAGACTAGCACACACACACACAAACACCCAACGATCCATAATCAATTGGGCACAGAGCCAGCATCCTTGTCATCGTCCCTGAACACTTTCTAATCTCCATAATTTCATTATTTATGTGCGCGGCAAGGATTTATTTGAGCGACGTGCTGTGCTCCTCTCTATCTCTCTCTCTCCCTTTCTCTCGCTATCTCTTTTCCTCCGCATCCCCGTCTCTGTCTTTGTTGCGTATGACGTATGAAAAATATAATTTTCCAAGTCACTGAATTATATTGACAGGATTAGGCAGGCCGTAAACTATGCCGATGGCGGCCTGCCTCCGTCGGTTGCTCTGTCCATGCCTCACTGTACCCGCACAGTCATCCCATTTCCCCTTCCCCTTCCCACATTCCTGTTTACTTCGCCTAATAATAATCTAGTTAGGCATCGATTGTATGGCCAAAATCAAGCCACTATCCCAACCGAGGAGTTAATTAATTTGTACTTAAGCGCAGCTGGCACCACTTGATAATGGTGGGCGTGGCAATACGCCCATCAATTTGGTAAGATGGTTAGGTCTTGAAAGGAAAACAGTTTTCATTAACTTTAAGTTCTTGATAAAGTCCGATATTTTCATTTAATGTTTTCCTACTTTTTACTGGCTAACAAATAAAAATATTAAAAAAATGGTACGGAATTGTTCATATGTTATCCATTCTTAAATTTATTTTCCTGTGGTTGTAGCTATGAATTTCCATATAATATTTACTAAAGTCAATTAATTTGGACGTAAAATTGTTGTGAACTAATGGATTTTCACGAAATATTTTATGAGAAAAAAAGTCATAAATAGCCTTAATAAGTATTTACGCAAATCAATATTCAAACATGTTTTATGTATAAATTACTGCTAACCGCATGGAAAATTTCATTACCGGAGTGAAATGAAAACAAAAAAGCAGGAGAGCCTGGATTTTAGTTGAGAAACAAAAAATAATTTGATTTCATGAATAAAGGAATTTTTCCGAAATTAATCATTACGAAATGCTTCATTCGACTTGTCTCAACTCGTCCTCGTTATTTGTATTTTCAGGATCCATTAGCAATATTGACGACGCGGAATATCACTGCAACAAGACGCAAGTCCGGAAGGTCATTTCGGGGGTGGTGGGCGCCGCTTCCTCGGTCACATCCATACAAGTTGCCAATTTATTGCGGTTATTTCGAATTCCCCAGGTGAGTTTCAATAGTGCGATCTGCCAACTATGGGACTGTTTCTATGCACATACAGACGAAGTCAAAAGGTCACGGCACAAAAGGGGGGTCAATTTTGTTTTTAGTTCAAATTTTGCTTTACGCTCGCAGCTACATATGTGCGTTAGTTTGACCAACAAAAGTTTTTGTATTTCGTAATTAAAATTTTTAAAAAGCCACATGGTAACATGGTAACTGTTGTAATGGTCATGGATGTCTCTCCTTCCTCTTAAGTGCCTGCACGTGCCACTAAATTAGTAGAATCCTGCAGGCCAACAAGTCGGACAAAGTGCAGCATTTGCGCAAAGTATATGGACAAACAACCAAGCAGTACCCTCTGGCACACAGTATGTTTTTTGTTCGATGTTAGGACAGTCGAAGATCAAGTACACATAAAACTGCATTCCTTAATTCAAGATTGATTGTTACTTTACATTTATAGCAGATAAGAACAAGATGGAAAGCACTCGCAGCTTTTACAATATTGAAAAACAATAAAGCCATGTCATTTTAAAGAAAAAATTGTCAACCGTTTCAATGCCAGCTAGTTACCAAATTTAATTAATTTTTAAAATGCTTTAAACTATGTCTCAGAGTATTTGTTAAAAAAAACAACGTTAATTTTTCCAATTGGTCCATTGCCAGCTAAATAATATAATCGTCTGATCCGCCCCTTTCCAATTGCTTACTACCGGTAATAGAAAAAGGGCTTTTTACACTTTTGACTGAAATGACTAAATATAAATATTTGGAATATATAAGTTTAATAAAGCTTTTTCAAATCTTTTGGGAAATGGGATATACTAGGAAGCAAATTGTAATCCAATAAGGAATTGGTTTTCTTCTCATGTCCCACTTTTTTGGGTATAGTCCCTACAACCAAAATGAGAAATGAAAAACTCATTTTAGTTCATTGTTCAAGCAGGAAACAAACTTGCATTTTTCGAGTGCTTCCTTAAATCACGTGCTTGAAATTGAAGGAGATTGAGTAGCCGGTGCTGGGGCTCCAAATACGTGAGCTGGAGCCAGAAGTCAATGCGCGACAAGAACTAAGTAGCCAACTGCCTGACAGTCAGATCCTGCCTCTATGTATACTGGATGCCATAAAACGCACACGCAGTGGCGTCGAAGGAGCAGCAGCCGTTTTATGCAGGCCCAGCTTATCGTCCCCTAAAAGAGCTCATAAATCAGCCATAAACATTTGATTGCATTTTGTTTGTATGCCAGGACTCCCAGTCCGCCTTCGAATAAACAGCATTTTCCAACAAATTTTGCGTGCTCTGCAATTGAAATTGCGGTCGATACCGACTTAGTCAGATTCATTCATTTAGGCTTAGCGGAAATTGGTAGCAGTGCAATATAAATGCAACGACAACAAATGACTTATGACTAAAATTCAGTTAAAAGTTTGTCAAAAGCAATATTTTATGGCTTATCTATCGGGAATGCAGGTGTATTTTTAGGTGTTTCAGTCAAGCAATGAAGTTAAGTTTCCTTACTATCCATTTTTTTTATTCCTTTGTAGGTCATAATTTTGGTTATACTTTGTGTGCCTTCGTATCGATTTTTCAGCTTTCAACTGAATTTAAAGTTTATCATATGTCTTATAGATTTCTTATCCAACTAAATGAATTTAACTTCAGTGTTTCAAATGAGCAATCAAATTTTACATACCTTATCGTTTCTATTCAGTTAAAGTGACTTCTTTGATTTTAAGTATTTGTCTAAGATTTTATATCAAAACAATTATAAAGTGCAATTACCATGCAATAAGTACATTGTTCAATTAAGCTCTAAAACTATTGTAAGTCAACAAATAAATTAGGCTCAAATATAATGCTAAAAGGCAGTTTATGCCGGCATTGCTAGTCCTTTGCTACGAGTAGTTCAGAGGTAATCAAACACTTAAGGAGGCAACTGTTGACTAATGGTAATGACACTTGGTTACAATCCTAGTGGTTCATTAAACACTTGCAGTTGACTTGTCTCGCCACCGACGTCTTTACTTTAAGACTGCACATATTTCTTGGCCAGAATGCATGTGCGTGAAATCTTTTCCAACCGATGGGTTAATGTGTGCGTGAAATTGGTTTTTGGGCTTTAACCGAGTTACCCCAGTTGGCTCTTTTCAGCTGCATCCCAAGCAAAAGTCTTTTGCAAAGTAATGCCATGTGATGTTTTCTTTTGGCTGCTGCATTGTTTGTGGTTTTTCGAAAAGAGCTTAAAAGGGGGAAAACATGAACGCGCAAAAGCTGGGAAAGAAGCTTACAAAAATGTTTGCAAAACAGAGGGCCAAGAGCAAGTGAGAACAAATTAAATGTGCAAACCTTAAAGAAAAAATGGTTGTAACTAAAAAACATGATAGCAAAAACATTCGCCCCAACACTCTACCTTTTCAGACGAAACTATGTGTGCGTCACCTGATAATCTTGTTTTTTTTTTACCAGGTTTCATACTTTTCGACTAGCCCCGAGCTGAGCAACAAACAGCGATTCGAGTACTTCTCCCGCACGATTCCCTCGGATCACTACCAGGTGAAGGCCATGGTGGAGATTGTCATGCGGATGGGTTGGAGCTACGTCTCAATTATCTACGAGGAGAGCAATTACGGCATCAAGGTTGGTATGCCATTATTTTCAGGAACTTTGAAAATATGAGGACCGTCTAGGGGCAAAATCAGTTATTCAGTTATTTAGCTTAATGGCTTGAAATATCTTTTATAGGTTTCACTAAATATTCCTCTGAGTTTCTTGAAGAAACTGCTTACACTTAAATAAATAAAATAAATATTATACATCGAACACAGAAGCCGCAAATATTAAATCAAATGTATAATCAAAATTTATGAGTTCAGATTGTTTTAAGCAACAAATAACACAAAGCATTGCTTATCTATTGCTTTGAAAAATTATGATTGTACCTTTTCCTTTTGGTGTCCGTACATGCAATTGAAGAACATTAAATTTGTATTGGCTCCAAAGATAAAAATGTTAACTGAATTTTGGGGATAGAACAGACAGTTATAATGTCTTATCAGGATTTGGAAAGAGTCGAAATCTACCAAGTAGTATTAAAATGGAAAATTGTAAGCCCAAAAATTCAATAAGTTTTGATATATTCGGTCTTTCGGAAGTAAGGTGACCCACTTGCGAAATTTTGCACTTTTCCACTATGACCAGTATTTCAAATGCAGTGACTTAATAATTTAATACCAGAATATATTTGCTTTATAAGATCGAAAGAGTCTTCTCCACAGCGTCATAAACTGCTGTACAAAATACACTCTGAAGAGATATAAAAATTTAATTTAAATTTTAGCACTGTACAATAAATTATTTTATTTTTTTATGGTCAAAGTGTTATTAAAAAGCTAATAACTAATGATTATAACTGGACAAATAGATGTAAATATTTATATGTATAATCATAACTATGTAATTTTTATAATATAACACATAATGATAACGCACCCAGTTTAAATTCCATATAAAGTTAGTACATTTTACTTAGCTCCAGCACCATTAAGAATACGGAAAATGTACTCTATCAAAAGTTAGCATTCTTTTTTTATGCCTTCGTATTTTGTGTAAACAAGTTTACCATCTCCATCATTGCACATGCGTTTTTATTGCTCACACAACTTTGCAATTGTTTTTACTCGCCGAACAGGCTTTTGAGGAACTGGAGGAGCTCCTCGCACGCCATAACATTTGTATTGCCATCAAGGAGAAGCTGGTGAAGGATTCGGGAGTGGCCGAGGACATCGCGTACGATAATATCGTGCAGAAGCTGCTGACGAAGCCGCGGGCCCGAGGTATGTAGAAAAGTGAGGAGGTGGCGAAGAGCGAAGTAAATTTCAGACCGGAACAGCAACTGCAGCCAGTTAAAATGCAATTTAAAATGAAAATGTCAAGGAAGGGCGCCTCGCAAATGCGAATGGAAAAGCATTTCGCAACGCCTGCCAAAAGATTGCAATCCCCAGTCGTGAACTATGCTATGGTTTTTGGGTGGGTGCCGCGAGACCCAGAAATCGCACAAATTAAATGAAAATACTTTTAACAAGAAAGGAAAGCTAACTTCGGGCGGAGCCGAAGTTGATATACCCTTGCAGAATATTATGTACATTATATTCTCCAAAATTATTCATATGATGCATTCTTAATACTCATAAAAAATCCCAACTTCCTAACTTTACAAACACCAAAGTTATGGCATTTTCGATCAATCAGTTATATGGCGGCTATAGGATATAGCCGGCCGATCCTTATGACATTTGGTAGGTCGGATTGATTGGCCAAATATAAAACCCATAGAAAATCCCAGCTTCCTAACTCTACAAACACCAAAGTTATGGCATTTCCGATCAATCAGTTATATGGCAGCTATAGGATATAGTCGTCCGATCCTTATGAAATTTGGTAGGTCGGATTAATTGGTCAAATATATAACCCATAGAAAATCCCAACTTCCTAACTTAACAAACACCAAAGTTATGGCATTTCCGATCAATCAGTTATATAGCAGCTATAGGATATAGTCGGCCGATCCTTATGAAATTTGGTACGTCGGATTGATTGGCCAAATATAATACCCATAGAGAGTCCCAACTTCCTAACTTAACAAACAGCAGAGTTATGGCATTTCCGATCAATCAGTTATATGGCAGCTATAGGATATAGTCGGCCGATCCCGGCCGTTCCGACTTATATACTGCGTGCAAAGGAAAGAAGGGTGTGTGCAAAGTTTCAATTCGATATCTTTAAAACTGAGAGACTAGTTCGCGTAGAAACAGACAGACGGACAGACAGACGGACAGACGGACAGACGGACAGACGGACAGACGGACATGGCTATATCAACTCAGGAGGTGATCCTGATCAAGAAAATATATACTTTATAGGGTCGGAGATGTCTCCTTCACTGCGTTGCACACTTTTGACCAAAATTATAATACCCTCTGCAAGGGTATAAAAATCCCAGGCTGTCCCGACATTGTTCCAATTGTCCCAGCGGGAAATTAAAAAGTTCATGGCAATTCAAACAAAAAAGTTACTGACAATTAAATTGAGAGATAGTTGGCCAAAAGTGGACAAACTGATATGCCAATATTGAAGTGGTGCAAAAAAGTGTGTATTTTCGTTATGACCAAAAGTAAAACCCCTTGTCAATTATACAAAAAATGCTTGACAGCCCTGAAGTTGGGTGAATGACACAATTTTTCTGGCCTTCCAAGGCAATTAAAAAAAAATGCTGGGTTGGCGAAAAAATGGAAATTAATCGGAACGACTTTTCAAGCTAAATTTAAATGAAAACGATTTTTTTCCACTTTGCGTTGTCCGAAGCTTCGGCAATCATACGCCCTGAGAGGCGTGATAAATAAACAAGAAAGGAAAGCTAACTTCGGGCGGAGCCGAAGTTGATATACCCTTGCAGAATACTCTGTAAATTATATTCTCCAAAATTATTCATATAATGCATTCTTAATACTCATAAAAAATCCCAACTTCCTAACTTTACAAACACGAATGTTATGGCATTTCCGATCAATCAGTTATATGGCAGCTATAGGATATAGTCGGCCGATCCTTATGAAATTTGGTAGGTCGGATTGATTGGCCAAATATAAAACCCATAGAAAATCCCAACTTCCTAACTTTACAAACACGAAAGTTATGGCATTTCCGATCAATCAGTTATATGGCAGCTATAGGATATAGTCGGCCGATCCTTATGAAATTTGGTAGGTCGGATTGATTGGCCAAATATAAAACCCATAGAAAATCTCAACTTCCTAACTTTACAAACACGAAAGTTATGGCATTTCCGATCAATCAGTTATATGGCAGCTATAGGATATAGTCGGCCGATCCTTATGAAATTTGGTGAGTCGGATTGATTGGCCAAATATAAAACCCATAGAAAATCTCAACTTCCTAACTTTACAAACACGAAAGTTATGGCATTTCCGATCAATCAGTTATATGGCAGCTATAGGATATAGTCGGCCGATCCCGGCCGTTCCGACTTATATACTGCGTGCAAAGGAAAGAAGGGTGTGTGCAAAGTTTCAATTCGATAGCTTTAAAACTGAGAGACTAGTTTGCGTAGAAACAGACAGACGGACAGACGGACAGACAGACGGACAGACGGACAGACGGACATGGCTATATCAACTCAGGAGGTGATCCTGATCAAGAATATATATACTTTATAGGGTCGGAGACGTCTCCTTCACTGCGTTGCACACTTTTGACCAAAATTATAATACCCTCTGCAAGGGTATAAAAATAAATGTCAATCAATTTAACTTTTAACTTTTTGTATTCCCCCGTCAAATATTAATCAACTGCCAGTTACAGACCCTGTAAAGAAATATATTAAAAATAATTACAGCCTAAACCTTTGGCGCCTATCATTAATCAGTACTGTAGAAGGGCGGTGGAAAGCAGGGTCGTGCCTGCCAATAAAAAGCACACGGGGGCCGACCAATAACAATTGACTTTTGTCTGGCAAACAATTTTTGATTTACATAAATGTGCCATCAGGAGTCGTAAAGCAGCCGCCCACCCACGAAAGGGGTTCCTCAACCATCATTATTTATTGTGATTTGTGATTTGACGCCGTTTACTGTTCGCTCCCTCGGAACGATTAATCAATTTGACAAAGTATTTTCTTTGGCATCAGTTGTTTAATTTTGCATATCGAGGGTTCGGGTTCGGGTTCTTGTCCTGCTTCAGGTTCGAGTTGGGTCCCTGAAAAATGATGCGCCTCCGGACTGCGGACCGTAACTGCGGCTGGTAACTGCCGTCGGGGGTGAACTTTACGCTTGTCCGGAACCCCACACATGTCACTTCGGGGGAAATGGATGGCGGGCGGGGAGCCCGACATGTTTTTCCTTTTTATCGCAGTTGTGCCGAGCTGATGCGACTTTACCGAGTACATGGCAGGGTCATAGCCGTTTTAGATCACTTCCCGCCACGGCCTTAAACTTTCCGCCTTACTCTGCATAAATATGCAAGAGAGGGGGCTCTTAAATTTAATTTGATACCCCTGCTAAGCATATCCAGGGTACTTGACTAGTTTACACAAGCGGACAAAGAAGCCGTTTGAGTGCCAATCTAAGGCAAAGTGAAAATCTAAGGAAAATATCCTTCACTTCACAAGAGTATCGACAAGTTTTCCTTCTGTTCCTGCCGCTGCCTTTGATTAAGTTTCCTCTCCTTTGACTTCAAGACGGGGGAGCAGCATTGGCAAATCGATACCAGAACACGCTGAAGGAGCAAAAAATTATGGATAAGACAAAAGGCCCTGAGGATGTGGACTTGAAGAGCCAACTGCAGCTCACGTACTCCTGAAAACTTGAGACAATAAGGGCAGTGGATTTCGGGAGAACTAGTGGCTGCGTAGTTTGTCCTATTGTGAATACCAAAATATGGGATGTTTTCCAAAGCTCCAGAACACAACCTACACAGTCGTCTCCGAACGATATTTGTGTGGGCTCCAAATCAATTATTAACTGAGGAGTTGTTAAGGCTTTGTTAAGCCATCTTGCCATTGATACCTACATATTTTTATGGATATACATCTGGCATTTATTGACGTTCGAAGGGATTGTTTTTTTTTTTGCAAATTGAAGAGAAATACCTTTGTCAGGCTGTCTAAAGCTCAAATGGAAAAGAGGATGCGATTTTTTAGGTTTTATTTTTGGATTTATAAAACATTTTCCCACAATTAAGTCCGCTTAATCTTACACAAACCCGAATAAATTTAATACAAAAAAAGGTCGTTTCCAAATTATCAGATTCCGTATACATTATTAACACATTCTGGCATTAAATATTTTAAAAACACTTTAGTCCCACCATGAAAAGTCCCGGTCAGTCCTTGAATGAAAAAACAAGAGCACTTGGCAGCAGCAGATTGTTTTCCTTTCCGCAGGAAAGCCGCTTATTCACTATTGATTGCAATTAAAATTAATTTCTGCCATTCCTGCTCTCGCATCCTTTAATCCGCTGCTGCACAGGGGCCATTATCTTCGGCTCGGATCAGGAGGTGCGGCAAGTGATGCGGGCGGTGCGGCGGGCGAACGCAACTGGTTCCTTTTCCTGGATCGGATCCGACGGCTGGAGTGCCCGGAACCTGGTATCGGACGACTACGAGCCGGAGGTGAGTGAACTATTTCGTCAGCCTGGATGACGGGACAGTTTTCTGTCAGCCGAATATGATGTGCCTGAGTGGGCGAAGCAACTAGGTTTGATTAATGGCTTGGAGTTTGGCCAAACACACACGCATTTACGAGGGAGTGACCGAGAAAATGTATAAATTATGGCGACCAAAATAATACTTTCTCACGCCCTTTCCTTTGATGAATTATGGTTAAATCGAAATTAATCGTGTGTGCGTCTGTGTGGGTCTAATTAATTCGCCAAGACCTTTCAAGCCCAGAGATGAAGTTCTTTATCCCTGGCCTTCAATTGAGATCGAGCTCATTAAGCATACGCCACGTGTGCCCTGTGTCATCAACAGGTGGAAGGCACGCTGTCTGTGCAGCCGCAGGCAAACCCAGTGCGCGGATTCGAGGAGTACTTCCTCAGCCTGACGGTGGAGAACAACCAACGTAATCCCTGGTTCGTGGGTAAGTGCATACTTGGATTCATTTTAATTGGCACACTTTAATGACTGATTCCTCAAAACGATTACCATTATTAAAATAATAATAATAATCTCTGAAATGAGGGTCCTATTAATTTGTATATTTTACTAAGTTTTAAGTCTAAAGGAAGTTTGCTATGATTGAGCAACATTTGAATGTCAATACGGTTTCATTTTTTATACCCGTTACTCGTAGAGTAAAAGGGTATATTGTATTCGTGCAAAAGTATGTAACAGCTAGAAGGAAGCGTTTCCGACCCTATAAAGTATATATATTCTTGATCAGGGTCACTAGCCGAGTCGATATAGCCATGTCCGTCTGTCCGTCTGTCCGTCTGTCTGTCCGTCTGTCTGTCCGTATGAACGCTGAGATCTCGGAAACTATAAAAGCTAGAAGATTGGCATTTTGCATGCAGATTCTAGGAGTTCCTACGCAGCGCAAGTTTGTTTCAAAAAGGTGCCACGCCCCCTTTAACGCCCACAATCGCTCATATATGATTTTAAAAATTTAAATATTTCGGAAAAGTAAAAATTCAGTATTATTGTGTTTATTAATACCTATCGAAATGTAGAAGAAATTTTTCAAATCTGACTATTCGTTAAAAAGTTATGCGTGATCAAAGTTTCTATCTCCATCTCCCTCGCACTCCCTTTACCTGAGTAAAGACAAGAGAGAACGATATAGTCGAGTTCCTCGACTATTAGATACCCGTTACTCAGCTAAACAACTTAATATAAGATTAAGTATTAAATAGTATTATGTATATAAAAGTCTAAATGTTCGCACAACACGAGTAACGAGTATAGCGAATAGCTCTCTTTGAAATGAGTTATCTTTGCCGGGCAATTGCAACTGTGTACAATGTAAATACATACATATGTATATGCTTACATACATACACACATACGCCATTGTTTGACTCAGACCTCCATTTTATCTAACTTAATTTGATTTGCATAGTTCTTGGGATATAGTTTTGACAAATGAAAACCATCGCAATTTCCTTTAATAGAAATCCTTATCGAAAATTAACGTTGACTCTGTTGAGCACCTTGGCCAGCTGTTCCAAAGTCCTCCGTTAGATGGCGCCATGAAAGACGGAAGTGTAAGCGCTAGCCAGACTTAGGCGTTTAATGGGTTTTTGGACGTTAGAGTGGGCGTGGCAAACTTTTATTAGGCCAATCGATAGGTATTGACGAAACAAATACATATAGACTAAAATTTTCATAAAAGCATCAAAACTGTGGCCACAGCTTGTGGCTTGTGGGCGTCAGAGGGGGCGTGGCACCATTTTGAAACAAACTTGCGCTGCGTAGGAATTCCTAAAATCTACATGCAAAATGTCAATCTTCTAGCTTTTATAGTAGGCTAGATCGACTCGGCTAGTGATCCTGAACAAGAATATATATACTTTATAGGGTCGGAAACGCTTTCTTCTACCTGTTAAATACTTTTGCACGAATACAATATAACCTTTTACTCTACGAGTAACGGGTATAAACATAATTATAAACATTCTGTTTTATTATTTAAGCTCAAGTACATATTTAACATATCTTAAAAGATTTCTAGTTAAATTAATTTTATTTACTTTCATCTTTCCTTCAGAGTTCTGGGAGGATCACTTTCAGTGCAGATATCCTGGTAGTACCAGCACTCCATATAATAACTACACCAAACAGTGCACCAAAAAGGAGCGACTTTCCAGGCAGAACACCGACTTCGAGGATCAGTTGCAGTTTGTCAGCGATGCGGTCATGGCATTTGCATATGCCCTGAGGTAAGTCAAAAAAATGAATGCCTTAGAAAATACATGTTTGAAATAATAACACGAGTAAGTATATAAGCACACGCATAAAAGTCAAAAGAGTTCAAATATTAGTAGTGCTAAGCTGATGTAAGCATCAACGAGTATGACAGCCAATATTCGTGGCTTTAACAAAGCTGTATTTATTTGCTTCAATCGTGACATTAAGACTTAATAGTAAAACAGATGCACTGAAATTTCTTCCCTCAGGGACATGCATCGGGACTTGTGTGGCGGAGGTCCTTCGCTCTGCGACGCCATGAAGCCAACGAAGGGCGCCGATTTGCTCAAATATTTGCGTAAAGTGGAGTTCGAGGGTGAGTAAAAATTAGAAGCTATTTATTCACGAGCTGTGGGGGATAAATCCAAGCCAAATTAACGGCATTACTATATGCCCGTAGAGCCAGTGTTTCTCGAGTATTTCTAAAACAGGATGCCAGACAAGCTCAAGTTCCAGTGCGCTCCTTTCATTCCTTCAGCCGGCAAGTGTTGCGCAAATAGCTAAAGTGGAAATTTCCTGGCAGCCCATCCTGGCAGTTGTGCCGAAAGCCACACACACATATCTCAGCCTGCGAATGGCCCACAAGGCGCATTGGCCATGCTTTCGAGTGGAAAATTGACTTGCTTGTCATCGTCATTGAACTCGATTGAAATTCAATAAATTACACGGACAGACGGACGCCCGAAGCCAAAGGCTCTGACTGACTGGCGCAGATTGTCAATTTTCTGATAGGGCGACCGGGCAAGCGGCGTCGACTTTGGCTTGGCAGGCGTGAAACCATAAACCCATTTAACTCCCCCAACCTTAAATTCCCCCCTCATCCGCAGGCCTCAGCGGCGACGAGTTCCGCTTCGACGGGAACGGCGACGGTCCGGCCCGCTACAACATTATCCACTTCAAGCAGTCCCAGGCGGGCCAGTACCACTGGGTCAAGGTGGGCGAGTACACGGAGGGCGAGCTGCGGCTCAATATGTCTGGTAAGAGTCCACACCCGTCGCCATCCGGTCTTGCCAACTTTAAATCACGCCAAATCTAGATATTTAATTTTATTATTAGAAGTTAATATGATGAAGAATATTTGATTTATCCCTAAAATACATCCTAATTATAATCGTATTATGCTTTTTTTTAAATTTACATTTTATGACACTTTTGAGGGTGGCACAGAAAACTCTTTGCCTGAAATTGTATCGAAATTTGTATGGACATCATATGTACATTTTAACGTACGAGTCTCTATAAGTGCCAGCAGTTTAATTGAAAATACACAATTTAAATATTGGTAAAATCCATTTAATAACTCAAAGTCGCCAGAACTCAAGGTTATTTTAATGGATCGAGATGCGAATGTTATATTTTTCAAAAAATGTTTTAGCAAGGAATCTTAAAGTAAACTTTACACCACAATTTTGCTATAAATTCATCAATTAAAATATAGTTTCCTTTTTAAAAATTGAATGCTAATCAGCTTAATTTTACGATTTTAACGGAGTTAATCATCTAAATTTAATTATGTTTTATTACTCGAAAATAAGTGTAAATTGACTCGTTTTTGACATTTTGCGCTCGGGGATGTGTCCAGGCTCTGGTCGAGTTGGCAACCCCGCGTAGGTCCCTTCTCCTTTCAAATACTGATTCTGATTTCGTTATCCCGCTGCCGCAGAGGTGAAGTTCAAGCGGCTGAGCCCCAAGCCGCCGGAGTCCGTCTGCAGCCTGCCCTGTCTGGTGGGCCAGGCCAAGAAGTACGTCGAGGGCGAGAGCTGCTGCTGGCACTGCTTCAATTGCACAACCTATCAAGTAAGTGGGGCCCAGCTGGGCCCGCAATTTATTTGTCGGGTCTTCGACGAGATTGAAATGTAGCGCCCAAGTGAGTTATTCCGAAGCTAACGCGTCGAAAAAAGTGCGGAATCGGGGCGGAAAACAATTAAGTCGTCCGGCCTGAAGGAGGCTTCAACTGAATGGCAAACACGCCGCCTTTGTGCTTTGTGCCCACGCCCCACCCATTTATCAAGTGTTCCTTTGTGCGGTGCGTCCATTGCAGATCCGCCACCCGGATGACGAGACCCACTGCAGGCTGTGCAAGCTGGGAACCCTGCCCGACGCCCACAAGCAGTACTGCCGCCCCATCCCGGAGATATATCTCCGGCCGGAGTCCGCCTGGGCCATTGGGGCGATGGCGTTTAGTGCGACCGGCATCCTGGTCACGCTCTTTGTCATGGGCGTGTTCGTCAGGTGAGCGAGGGGGCAAACCGAAAAAATATAGAACAACTAGCAATTAAAATATTTGTTTTACCAAGTTAACCTGCCGAAAATGTAAAATTTATTATTTTTGATGCTCTGGTTTATTACTCGTTTTGCTTTAACAATATTTTATCGAACAAGCTCAAGGAGAGTGTTTTTGATCAATTTATGTTTTGTTTATGTGGCTCCACTGTATTTATTGGCACAATAATGGGCGGTTTTTGTGCATGGATATGGGCAAGCAATTAAAACTTTTTGCCCTTGCCTTGGCAAACTTTGCCACAAAATTCAGAAGCAGAGACATAAAAATGATGCCGTAATTGGCGCAAAGGATTCCTGGTAAAGTTTGTAACTTTAGCTATGCTCTTTCCACCCTTCCCCCTTTCCCTCACCTGTCCAGGCACAACGACACGCCCATCGTGCGCGCATCGGGGCGGGAGCTGAGCTACATCCTGCTGGCCGGCATTTTCATGTGCTACGGTGTCACATTTGCACTCGTCCTGAAGCCCACCAACATAGTGTGTGCCATTCAGCGGTGAGTGTGCAAATTGCCGGGAACAAGATGATGCGAACTGAGTGTGAACTTGGTCTCCAATTTTCCCACAGATTCGGTGTGGGCTTCTGCTTCACGGTCGTCTACGCTGCACTGTTGACCAAAACGAATCGCATCGCCCGGATTTTCAAAGCGGGCAAACAGTCCGCCAAGCGACCCTCCTTCATCAGCCCCAAGTCCCAGCTGGTAATCTGTGCGTGCTTCGTTAGTGTGCAGGTGAGTTTGGCTTTACGCGGCGGCCAACGGGGCGTATGTGGGATGGGGATGGGGATGCAGAACGCGGGATGCGGGATTCGGTGCCAGTGCTAGAGCGATTTGATTATTCATACCATTTTCAGATACTCATCAACGGCGTTTGGATGGTAATTGCACCATCACATGCCATGCATCATTATCCAACACGCGAGGATAACCTGCTCGTCTGCGACTCCTACATCGACGCCTCCTACATGATTGCGTTCTCGTATCCAATCTTCTTGATTGTAATTTGCACGGTCTACGCGGTGCTCACGCGAAAGATTCCGGAAGCCTTCAACGAATCGAAGCATATTGGTAAGTAATTAGGCCTTTTATTTTAGAGGCGCTATAATTCCGAATAATTGGCCTTGTCTGGAAAAGAAGTTAATACAATTTAATAACCTAAGTAAGACATCCTTTATGCCTGGCCATAACCATTGATTTAACACATTGGCAACTAATCAAATAAAAGTCGATAAAAACATTCATATACTTTTTTTCGCAGAATTACATCAAAAATCAAAATATTACAGTATAAAATCAAAATAAATAAAACATAACAAAATCGTATTATATTTGTTGCGCAAGCAAATTTATTTATATATGATATAAAAATGTTTCCATTTTTTATTCAATTTACTGCATTTATTATGCATTTTTATGATTACTAAGTTGTGGTGTGATATTCCATTTACTCAAATGTTTTTCAACTATTTAATGAGCCTATTTAATGAAGATAAAATTAAATGAAATATATGTTTTGAATTCAATTCCCCTTTGAATAAAATTGAAAAGGACCTGACACCTGAGGATATGCTGTTACTGAAATGTGATCAAATTTAACAAATTGACCCGGGATCATACCGATATCTGAAATATTAAAATAATTAAATATTAATATTTTGTACATATTGTCTTACTCCATACAGGATTTACCATGTACACCACCTGTGTCATTTGGCTGGCGTTTGTGCCGCTTTACTTCGGTACCGCCAACCACGTACCGCTGCGCATCACCAGCATGTCCGTGACCATCAGCTTGTCCGCCAGCGTGACCATCGCATGTCTCTTTTCGCCCAAGGTGAGTAGGGATGGTGGGACTCCGAAAAATGATGGCCTGGTGGGATACTGTTAATTGCGATATGCATTAATAATTGCGAATTTCTCTCGCAACCCGTCATATGATTTTGAGGGCCGCATGCTGCCATGGGCGATTTTAATTCCGCTTTGTACCGTTGGGGAGAACATCAGGACGAGTGGTTCATTAAAATGAAATAAGTCGAAAGATGATAGCAGGCGGGCGCCGAAGGGTTTTATCATTTGGCAATCGGATGCATAAATTGTGATGCGGTGCCAACCGCATATTTCTTTTAACCTTTACCCTTCCCTCGGTCCTTGGCCCTTTCATTACATTTAATAGAGGACAAGCTTAAGTGTCAACAAGCTAAGTCCTCGGATGAAGCTGAACTGGTCCTGATTTCCTCCTGCGGGCCAGCTGTTTTTATGGTTTTATCTCCAGTTCCCCTGCCACCATATTTTTTAATACCCCCTGTTATTAGCCATTAAGAAGCAAGCAAACTGCAAGCCAAGCCAAGTATAGACAGCCGTTTAAGTTCATGGTCTAGATGATGCAGCAGGGGAGGGACTGGTTACATGATGTTTACTCTGATGTGGAACATCACAGGGGAAGATTGTTCGAAGGCAGTAATGACTTTATTACACAGAAACGGAAATTGTGAATTGTCATCAAAACAAGTTGAAATCTTATAGTTTATGTAAAATGGATAATATTTTATAACGATTTGGGGTCCTTAAACAAAATTTGTATTCATTTTAACAACCTTAGGAGGGTAGAAAAAAGAAGTGAAATCAGCGAAATAAGATATTTCTATATATGTAAGTTACAAATGCAATTCAATTCTGTTTATATTTTTTTGAAGGATTTTTTGCACAAGGTACCTAACTTTCTAGGTGACCTGAATTTTGTTTTTTTTAACGGACTTTTCCTCCGTGCAAAATGCACTTAAGGGCAAGGAAGTAGAATTAGTAAATCGGACTGAAACCAGCTTGCCAACTGAACAAACCATAAGCAATGGTACATATCATAGTTGTGGGTTCCAAAACCAACATGAATAGCAACACTTTATGGGAACTGTCTCCATATTCCGGGTGCAAAGTCGCACAAAACCCCGGGGAGCCGGGAGCTATAAACACTCTGCACAGGGGCTATTATTAAATGTCAGAGCGTGGATACCCCTTGGCCCAGTGGCTGCTAACCGGGCCAACTGTCCGCTATCGGATGTCACCTAATGCACGGGTGGTCGGCGACAGGGAAAACACTCTGTGCGATGCGTGATACAAACACACGTACTCCGCACACCTTGAGCCATAAAAATGCAATTTACAATTGCTTGTACCTGGGCAAAGGGAGAACAATAAAAGCCTGCCATGAATGCGGCTTGCCACAAAGCGACTGGGGATCACTGGACTAAGAGGCAACAAACTAAAGCCAGGCCGTAAAGGTGCCAGTCGCCACGCCTCCTTCCGGAGGACAAAGGCGCACCGAGGTGGTAAGCAATTCCGACTTCCGACTGCCATTCGCCCCTTTCCCGTCCGGTTTCGCCTCAGTTTGTTTTCTTACTTCCCCGTTTGTTTGCAGTGAAAACAATAACAAACGGCGGCCAAATGGCAGCCAAACAATGTCAAAGCACGGCGGAAATGACCGAGCGGCCGTACAGGCTACGTAACATAACGCAAATTGGAACGTAACGTGCACTGTAAACAATATGTTTTACTTAGCCATTAAGTGAAAAAATAGTGAATTGTTTACAGCAAACGGTTTCAGGAGCCAAACATTCCGCTTAATACAACTTCAAAATAACTCAAATTTACCGCGACATTAGCTTTACAATTGAGCAAAAGTTGTATGTCTCTTGCTTTTGAATTGGAAAACTTAACTTTAAACTTACAATTTTCTCAAACGGAATCGAAAGCTTTAAATGTAAGTCACCATTATAAAAAACAGAAATAACTCTATTGGCTTAGACTTTTGGAATTTCTTGATAAATATACAGAATTGGTTTTAGTTACATAAAAACGTATGATTTTTATTGAAATTCTCAAACTATTTTTTTATTTTTCCATAATAATTCACTGAATAAAACAAATGTAACAATCAATTATTGTTGCTTTTCTTTAAGTGTATATATGTTAATTTAAAATGGAAGGCGTTACTTTTGCTCTCTGTGTATACCTCTGATTCGAGTCGTTGGCCTTTGTTTTGGCCTAAAATAACTGCTGGCCATCGAATCGGGAAATGGCTAATGACAATTGGATTTGGCTGGGGATTGGAACTTGATAGTGGGCGTGGCAGATGGCAGTGGGCGGCGGCAGGTCACGCACTGACTTCTAATGAAAGCCATAAGATTAGCAATCTGGGGGGCAACGGAATTGGATATCGCTTCCAAACGAGCATTACATACAATGGGTCGTATGATTAATGCCTGATACGCCGCTGGCTGGTTGGCCGATCCGGGAAATTAACCTAATTGGAAGGACACACTGATTTTCTCACTCGAACGTACGCGTGTGTCGTTGCAGCTGTACATAATACTCATACGCCCCGAGCGCAACGTGCGCCAGAGTATGATGCCGCCGCGCTACGGCAACATGCACCGCACCGCCGGAACAGGACCCTCGTCCATGATGGCCGCCGCCGTGGTGACCGCCGCCACCTGTGCTCAGGAGGAGAAGATCCAGAAGCATATCACGCCCACGAACACGGGTGAGTACATGGGGTTGCCTCGCGCTACCGGCCACCATTTGTCATAAGTCAGATAATACCGATGAGCTAATTATTTCCTGCATGGAACGCACACAAGTGTCAAACAAACATATACAAAAGTGATTTAATTTATTAAAAAGAATCCAGTAAGCGGTATGATATTCTATATTAATCAATCAATTAATTACTTGATTAAAATTGAGTTGCAATTACCGTTATTAAATATAAATACATTTTAATTCTTTTTAAACTATTAATTGCTCTTTGTAATCAACTTAAATCGATAATAACGAGTATTAATATTTGCAAGAGTGCTTTTAACATGACAAAATTAATACAAATATACTATTAATTACTTAATTTAGTTATTTCCATGTAAGTCTTATATTATCTGTAAAGTTCCGCAACATGAAAAATTAATGCGTAACAGATTTATACACATTCCAAATTTTTAATTGAAAAACTTAGCATCTTAACTTGTAAGTCCTGTGAAGAGCAAAACCGAAATAATAAATGGTTCATTTGTTTATGTGCTGCTTTAACATTATAGTTTTTTTTGAGAATAAGAATTATAAAAAACACACATCATGTTTTTTAAATTTAATTGGAATAAATGCAATGATAATGATGTTCCTTCTTCTATTTCTTCTTCTTTAAGTTTCCCTACAGTTATCTGAATATAGAATAAAAATTGTCTTCTTTATTCCCAATTTGCAGAAAACTCGCTGAAGACGAAGAAATTGTGCGAGATGGCCACTCAGACGATATCCAGCATAATCACGTCGCTGGACATCAATGCGTACAATCAAATACCATATGCCGATCAATATGTGCCAAACAATACGACAACGGCCACGACCACGCCCACCGATAAGGGCAGTGGCAACAGCAATAGCAGTAGCAACAGCAACAGCAACAGCAATGGAGATGGCGACGAGGTAACGGAGCAAGTGGTGGCCAACAATAATAAAATCAATCAGAGGCAACATGGCCAGCCGACAGTGGCTTTTGCCATCACAACGGCTAACAATCACATAAGCGGCCCAGCAGCAATCATAACAACAACAGCGGCAACTGGCGAAACCACAACAGAGTCTCCGGCAGCAACAATAACAACAGCTCTGGCATCGGGGGATGTCACTGGAACGGAAACCGCATCCGTGCCGGCCAACAATGGAGCTGGCAATGGAAGCCAACGTCCGCCGGTTTTGCAAACAAACTTATAACTAAACGCACAACAATTGCAGCAGCAGCTGCTGAAGGAGCAGCAGCGACAGCAGGCGGAGTTGCAGCAGCAACAGCAGCAACCTGCAACACAGAGCTCTTCCAGCGACACCGGCAGCACGGGCAGCGGTAGTACGGCGAAAAAGCGCGCCGCGATTCCCGTTTAAGCCGCATCAGAGATTGGAGATTCCATGCAACAATACGTAAGTAGAGTGTCTGTGTAAAGTGTCTGTTCAGCTAAGCTTTTCCAAGGGTCAGGGGTCAGAGGTCAGGATAAGCTAACAAAAGCCGACTCTTTTAAGTGCCTGCCAGGAAACGACTTTATTACTGGCAGCTGTGCCACAGAAATACTTTCAAATTTTAGAAAGCTTTTTGTAAAATTGCAGAGCAGCAATTCAATGAACATTGATTAAAAAATTAAAAAGAAAAAAGAAATTAACTATATTTACTTTACCAAACCCATTTGTTTTACAAATAATTTATTTTTTTATTTTTATTTCTTAAGATTTCAAAACAATTCTATCTACTTTTTGTACATTTTGTGATTTTTAAATAAAGTTACTCTGAAAAAGGTTTTCTCAGAATTAGGCGAGCGACAAGTTGTAACTCCAAATGTTACTCAGTTATAAAAAATCGGGACAGAATATATTTCAGTGGCACCAAAGAGTATCTTCCGATTATAACAGACATATTAAAGCCCAGAGGGAACTGACTAAGCAACGTCCCAAATAAAAGGCTTAACGTAAATCTTTCACAAACTCTTCCCAATAACGAATGTGTTTTCAGCATTTTACACTTCAGCACAAAACCAAAATATAATTAAAAATAACTAGTCATTCTTAAACTAATATTAAGTGTTTACCTCTTAAGCTTATCTAGTTTTCTAAGCGTTGTTTCAAGGCGTTCCGAATGAAACCAAAAACGAAAATGTGATATAATTTCAAAAATGTGTTTTCTACAAACGAAGTAAACTTACAAGCTATCTGGATAGTACATGTAATTCGTAGGCTAAGTAAGGCAAACACTGTACAGTGAGCACTGGGAAACGGCAGATTTTTTTCGAGGGCGCAATTATGTTCCAAAAGGGCTGGAATCCAGCCCCTTTGCAATGTAGCAGCTAGGTAGAACAATTACAATTGCATTTATTGTGTTGTTTGAGCCCATCAACATGGTAGATTTAATTGTTGTCCAACTAAGGTGTACATATAGTACTTTACAAATAAACTTATTGTCGTAGTTCAACCTTGATGTGAATACAGATTAATGTTAATTGTGCAGCTTACAACTTGAAACTTGTTATCTAAAAAATGCATAGTTAAATATTTGTTATAGAAAGCAAGTAATGCAAATCGTGTCTAGCCAAATCATGGGGTACAAAATTAGCGAAATATATTCGTTTTCCTTGTCTGTGTGTTCAATGTAAATAATCGTTAATGGAAACCCATGGAACATCCAAGATTTGAATGTCTTTCGAATTAGTTACTTGATGTATAGTTATTAATACTATTGACAACAATACGCTGAATGTTATTTGGCTGCATATATATTTACGAATAAAGCAAGACGAATATCAAAGAATCAAAAACACTTTTCATTTAAAAAAATCGAGTTTTATTCGGTGGTTAAAACTAAGGCCTCCGCGGGATCTAGGCTCAAGGTCTTTGGGTCGTAACGAGTGCTGTTTAAAAAGAAAAAATATATGTATTAAATAAATTAATTGATGGGGAAAGAAAATACAAAACACTTGCCCTTCTACTTTTGTCGAGTCTATACTTCTTATGAGAAGCTGCAAGCTCTCGGTACGATTCTTGTCGAACTGACTCAGGTCCACTGTTACCGCCACCGATCCGAAGTTAATGACACCCACAATGGTGGCTGAGTTGGCAAGAGATCTACGAAGGGTAAGGTGAGTAAAGGACAATCAATCACTGAAAAGTACCACTACTCACCGTTGAACTACGAAGATGTCCCCCGTAATTGCCTCGTACTTCGTGGACCCGTTCTGCAGGGTCTTGGATGACTTCCGTAGGGCCACCAATGCCTTGTAAATCTTCAAGTGGGACCGGTCGTCGCTCAACTCCTTTTCCACGTTGATGGTCTCATAATCCGTCGCCAGTGGCAGCCAGGTGGTGGATCCGTTGGTAAACCCGGCATTTGTGCCCGCTGTCCACTGGAAAGGCGTTCTCTCCGGGTCCCGAGTGTATTGCTCGTAGATATCCGCATTCGAGTTGCAGCCCCACGGATCGACAGTGTCCTCCCAGCTGATCTCGCCATCGGTCATGCCGATCTCCTCGCCCTGGTAGGTGACACTGGCCCCCGGGAGAACCATCACCAGCATGTTCATGGCGTCGATGTGCTCCTTTCCGTATCGACTGGCGGCCCTTCGCTTGTCGTGATTTCCCAGCTGGAGTAATGGGAAGATGTATTTCAGATTCGGATTCATTACTAATTGTCACCAACTTACCACCCAATTGGCCGTGCGACCCGCAGGCATATTCTTTAGCCACAGGTCTACCGCCTCCTGCACGTTGCTGGCATTCAGACCCTTCTGCTCCATCACCGTGATCAGGTTGAAGTTGAAGGGCAGATGGGCGCCCTCAGTGCTCCGATTTCCGTAGAACTGCATGCTGAACCAGGCGGGTGAGTATGTCTCGATGAGCAGGACGCTCGAGTTGCCGCCATGAATGCGCTTGTGGTCATCCAGTACGGTGCGCCACTGGTAGACCATGTCAATAGTCTCCGGCTGGTTCTCGATGTACGTGGTGGTCAGATAGGCACGGTCGTCCGCGTCCTCGGTGGCCCCGGTCACCACTTCGTCGGGCCACTGTCCCTCGGCATCGGGCAGCACTTCGAAGAGCGGGGGCAGAGCGTCGCATCGGAATCCGGACACGCCCTCGTTCAGCCAGTAGCGCAGCACCCGCTTCATCTGGTCCACGACCAAAGGATTGCGGTAGTTCAGATCGGGCTGCTGCACGGCGAACTGGTGGAGGTAGTACTGCTGGCGCTCCTTGTTCCACTGCCAGGCACTCCCGCGGAAGTACTGCAGCCAGTTGGTGGGCGGTTCCCTCGCCCCAGTGGTGGCATTCACCTTCCCGTCGTGCCACACGTAGTAGTCCTCGTAGCCCTTCTCGCGATTCACCGACTTCACAAACCAAGAGCTCTCGTTGCTCGAGTGGTTGGGCACGAAGTCGAGGATAATCTTCAGATCCAGCTCCTTGGCCCGCTTGATCAGGGCCCTGAAGTCGTCGAGAGTCCCATACTCAGGCTGAATGTCGAAGAAGTCAGATATGTCGTAGCCAAAGTCCACCATCGGGGAGGTGAAGATGGGCGACAGCCAGGCTGCCGTAATGCCCAGATCCTTGAGGTACTCCAGCTTGCTGGTGATGCCGTTCAAGTCACCGATGCCATCGCCATCGGAGTCCTTGAAGGAGCGCGGATAGATCTGGTAGAACTGAGCGGTTTGCCACCAGTCCTTGACGGTTTCGCTGGTGGAGCTCTGCAGCTGACAGCCCTCACCGTGGCCAATGGCCAATAGAAGAAATGTAAGGAGCGTTGCTAGCTCCATTGCCTCGGTCTAAATGTAAAACCTTATGTGTTAGCAGACGGTAGTTACTCGCTCTTTTATAGACAATCCCCTCAACCGGTTAGATAAGACCTCATAATGGAAATGTTTTGATTGGGGTAGTACTATCGAATACTGAGCATACACATTGCGTTCTCCGGAACTGTTATTGGAAAATTTCCAGCTGAAGTGGTCTTTGGAGTGTTTTTGTAAATGCTTTATCTACTCGATGTGGGGCTATCACTTAAGCCCCAGTAATCCTATGCAGGTACCATTAGTATTGTATAAAAGACACAACACCAACCTCTCTAGCTCAAGTAATAAAAATGCTGAGAACACGGTTGGATTTGTTTGGGATACTGGCTTGTGGGCTGGTTATTCTGGTGCAGAAATCCTGGGCATGTGAATCCTCTACGTCGGTCACTGCCACGAAGGACTGGTGGGAGAATGCCCAGTTCTATCAGATCTACCCCCGCTCCTTCATGGACTCCGATGGCGATGGAATCGGCGACTTGAATGGCATCACCAGCAAACTGGAGTACCTCAAGGATCTGGGGGTCACGGCAGCCTGGCTGTCGCCCATCTTTACCTCCCCCATGGTGGACTTCGGCTACGACATATCCGACTTCTTCGACATTCAGCCGGAGTATGGAACTCTCGACGACTTCAGGGCCCTGATCAAGCGAGCCAACGAATTGGACCTGAAGATCATCCTGGACTTTGTGCCTAACCATTCGAGCGACGAGAACTCTTGGTTCGTTAAGTCGGTGAATCGCGAGAAGGGCTACGAGGACTACTACGTGTGGCACGACGGGAAGGTGAATGCCACCACTGGGGCGAGGGAACCGCCGTCCAACTGGCTCCAAGCCTTCCGCGGAAGTGCCTGGGAGTGGAACACGGTGCGCCAACAGTACTATCTCCACCAGTTCGCTGTGCAACAGGCCGATCTCAACTACCGCAATCCCTTGGTCGTGGAGCAGATGAAGCGGGTGCTTCGGTACTGGTTGGACCTTGGAGTCGCTGGATTCCGTTGCGACGCCGTGCCCGTGCTCTTCGAGATCGAGCCGGATGCAGATGGCCAGTATGCCGATGAGGAGGTCAGTGGGCTGACGGAGGACACGGAGGACCGCAAGTACCTGAAGAGCGACTTGATCGAGAACAGGCAGGAGACCATTGACATGGCTTACCAGTGGCGCGTGGTGATGGATGACTACCAACGCATCCACGGTGGCGATACGAGGGTTCTCCTGATAGAGACATATGCCCCGCCCGCCTACACAATGCAGTTTTACGGAAACGGATCGGTGGCCGGCGCCCACCTGCCCTTCAACTTTAACCTGATCACGGTTGTGGCCAGCGATGGCTTCTCGGCCGCATCCATCAAGGCGGCGGTGGACAACTGGCTGGACAACCTGCCTGCCGGACGCACGGCCAATTGGGTGGTAAGTTGGGGCCGAAAACAAGCACATTTTTTAATTATTTTTTTTATTGCATCGAATATTTCTGGATCACCACCATTTAATTGATAGGATGAAAAAAAAATTTAAAAAATCAAAATTAAAATTCATTTTTTAATTAATTCAAAGAAAAACAAAATATTTTGATGTATACCTTATGATATCCTGTTTGGTAAAAGCGACAACCGGTAAAAGCAAAAATAAGTTTAGAAACAAATGCGATATAACTGGGACGTAGAATAAATTATACAAACAGTGCAACTTCTTAAATATAAATAAAATTAATAATAATCTTCTGGCTTCTCCAGATAGGAAATCACGACCAGCGACGGGCGGCCAGTCGATATGGAGCGGCCAATGCGGATGCCATGAACATGCTGGTGATGGTTCTCCCGGGAGCTAGTGTCACCTACCAGGGCGAGGAGTTGGCCATGACCGATGGCGAGATCAGTTGGGAGGACACCCAGGACCCGGCGGCCTGCAACTCCAACTCGGATATCTACGAGCAGTTCACACGCGATCCCTCGCGAACTCCCTTCCAGTGGACAAGTGGCACCAACGCAGGGTTCTCCACTGCATCGAAGACATGGCTGCCACTGGCGGCGGACTACCAAACGGTGAATGTGGAATCGGAGGCGGCTGCTCAGCGTTCCCATCTAAAGATCTACAAGTCACTGGTGGAGCTGAGGAAGTCCTCCCTTCCGCTGCAGAATGGATCAACCAAATATGGGGTCATCAGCGAGAATGTGTTCGTGGTGAGGCGGTAAGTTTATGTTTGCAGTAGGAGCTGCAAGGGGTGCTAATATCCATTTACCATTGCCTATTGTTGGCCCAGCAAGCCAAACCTCTGAGACAATGCGATGAAATAGTGCTCGGAGTCAGTGCTGTGTGACACCGACCCAATTCACGAATTATGCACTGGAAGCTCCTTAGTCTACACAATTCGTTCAAGTACTAACCAGAACGTGCCAAACCATTACCTTTACAGCTACCTCTCCGGCTCCTCATCCGTAATTTATGTGGCCAACTTTGCCAGCAAGGGTGTCACAGTGAATTTATTCGATTTCGACAAGACGCTGCCCACCCACCTGACGCTCCTCATACGCTGCCTGCAGTCGGCCAAGGCGGAGGGGTAAGCGAAGCAGGTCCAATATTGACCATCACCCTGACATCTGGGCGGACCTCTTTTCAGCTCACTGTTCGAGGTCACCGGGCTGAGTCTGGCCGCCGGCGAGTCCTTGGTATTGAGCGGCAGCAGTGCTTCCCGGTTCGATTAAATGCCATTTCCTATCTGGCGCACTTCAAACATACTGACTCAGGCCACTCAATCGGTATTTATCTTCGGCTCAAAGCAAATATGCCGTGGCTTGCATAAATAAATATATAAGTGAAAAACCAGACAAACAAACCACTCCACCCAAGAAAACCACACATATCCTGAACACCAACCACCCCAAAGCCAGGAGATAATCTCAAGTGCCCGGCATACTCTTTTGATTCCCGCTCGGTGACGGGGCTCGCCATTTAAAGTGTTTACACACAAATTAAAGTCAAGCAAAAGTTCCCGGCCCCTTTGGTAAGTATTTGGTGTTTTACACTGTGTGTGCTCGAGAGCCAAAGAATGTGTGTTACACAATGTAAATACAGACGACGACCTGGGACTAGGCCTATAAAACAGCGAGTTCGGGTCTGGAACCAGGCCGCCAGCATCGCAGGGCTCTTTGAAGTCGAAGCCGTCGAGAGGGGCTTGATGAGTTTACCCAGATAGCTTGGGCAATTTTCAGGGCGAGATTTATTACTCATCTCGGAAATTCGTGAAACAGCCCTGCAGTATTTACGCTGGCCCCCAAAAGAGGGCAGCTGAAAGCAGAACTTCAATTGCGTTATAAATAATTAAATTGCGTTTACACATGGTAATTGGCAGGCGGCGTGCGATACCCAGGCATCAAGTATACGCCCCAGATTCTCAAAGATTTTTGGCTTGCGGAAACTTGCTTCGCCGCACACACGATTTCTTGCGGCCAACTTGAGTTGGGTTTGACAACAAAGAGGTAAGAGGAAAGGAACGGGATGTTCGTCTAAAATAACAAATCCGTTAACGCTCAGTGAAGTCGAGTAATTACCTGATTCGAGTGGATTTTACGTGCTATTAGCTTGAGAACAATGAGAAGATTGAATTTCGCAGTAAAAGCATAAAGCGGTTGCCCGAAAATCTTTACAAATTATTTTCCCTCTTTAAATAATCTCGGACCCATTCGATTTGTTCGATTTCACTTTGACGCTGAAAAATTAGCAGTCAGTGGCGGCTGGGCAAAAAAATGAATAAAATAAAATCGTGTAAATGGCTGCGTGACCCGTCAGCCCATTAAAAAGGTCACAGACACGGCTCCGAGTGGCTGGGCCACTTTACCCTTACGCACGTGACCAGAAACCTTTAAAAATTGTATGGAATTGTGAGAGCGAAAACCGCAGGACACACACCGGGCCAGACGGAGGCCAGGTGGCTGGCTGACAAAGCCTTCTGCCTTTGTGCATTTCACTTTCGTTCAGATAATGAAGTTAATTTCCCACAGAGACTCAGCCACAATGTTTGACGAGGGCACGCCAAATGATTACATTTAAGATGATTTTCGCAGATTTACGCAGGTCGAACAAAAGTTGGCTCCCCTTCCGGTTGGAAAACTTTTAAAACGCATTAAGCTCGCTGTAATCTGCAAGGACTCGTGCCCCGAAAAGCCGGAAGCGAGTTCAGAATCCAGGCACATCCTTGCACATTTAGTTAACGTATTCGAAGCTCCGACAACGTTTGCATATTAATAATGCGAGGGTAATATTTGAGTTTGATTTCGGACCGGCTGCGTTTACTGGTTCCTGATTTGGCACGTGCCCGTTGGCCAGGTGAGGCCTGAAAGTTCATTTAATCGCTGGCCGCTCATTAATTGCACCGCAAACATGGCTCATAACTGGCGCCGAACGGGTTGGCAGTTCGAGGTGACGACCAGCACTGGCTCATTTGAATGACTCTCACGTAGCCATGTGATTTGGCAATGATGTTGGCGTTTTGGGAGGGGGTCGAGGGCTGGCCACTAATCCCGCTAAGAGCCCGCCGATGACAGAACAATTGTCCCTGATGAACTTTTGCTTTTGGATGCCCGACTGAGGCAGATGATGCTGCACTTAAATACTGTTTTTAGTGATTTAAATGTTTTTCGGGGAGTGCTTTAAGATTCCAATTCACTAGCCTACGAGTGCCAGAAATAAAAATAGGTGCTGGTTTCGTTTTCGCCAAATCTGACTTCATTTTTATGGCTAAATTAAAAAGCTAACCAGGGCCCTGTCAAGTACGCCTACGACAACCACTAGCACCACACCCACACGCAACGCCCACGCACCGAGACACCTTCTGTGGTCCTTCGGCTTTTGCGTGGCAGCAACGTTGCGTATGCGTGATTTGTGTGTCTTATCAATCACGTCTAATGGAATTTCTTTTGCCCGCACCAGTCCTTGCCACGTCTCTGACTCTTGACTCCAGGACGAAGTTCCTTAATAATTTATAATAAGTTGGCCCAGCACGCGACCTTAAAATTGAAAAGTTTTCCAATGTCGTTCGCCCCAATGACTTATACGCCCATATAACAAGCCACATTATCGATGTACTTTGTGTATATGTATTGTTCTTTTCAAACTTATGATTATGTAAACTCTAGACGGACTCCAAAATCAGGGCTGCGTACGGCTCCAGTGACAAGCTGCTCAGTGAAACGCTATCGCTGTAATAAGGAGGCAGGGTAAAAGTAAAGTTACTGGGGAATTTAATTTAAGGCTGCCAAAGACTTACCCAACTGTGGCCTTGGCCTGCGGATTGAGTAGCTTGATCTTGAAGCTTCCAGTGGCATATATGGCAGTAGCTATGTCCACTTCGGAGACCGCTGTGCCTAGCACATTGGCGACCAGCACGTAGGTGGCTTCCCCACTCAGAGATCTCTTGATGGCCACCACATTGTCGCCCACATTCGCATATCGAGTGGCGCCCAGCTGCAAGGTTTTTAGTTTGCGCAGCTCCACCAGCTGCTTGTACAAACTCAGGTGACTGGGACTCGTCGCGTTCTCCGCCTTCACATTCACGGTCACATAGTTCGGATTGATGGGCAGCCAGGTGGTGGCGTTGGTCGAGAAACCTGCGTTGGCCTCGTCGCTCCACTGAAAGGGAGTCCTGGCGGGATCGCGGGTGAACTGCTCGTAGATCTGCGAGTTGGAGTTGCAGGCCGCCGGGTCGCGGCTGTCCTCCCAGCTGATGTCCAGATCCGTCATCCCCAGCTCCTCACCCTGGTAGGTAATGCTCACGCCGGGCAGGAACATTTGCAGCATGTTCATCAGATCGATGCGGTTCTCCCCGTAGCGACTTCCTACCCGCCGCTGGTCATGATTGCCCATCTGTCAACGATTAGGATTAAGCGAATTAGGTTGAATTCGAGAAGAATGTATTGAGGATCACTTACCACCCAGTTGGCAGTTTGTCCAGCGGGCATCTGCGTCAGCCAGCTGTTGATGATCTTCACAAAGCCCGTCGCACCCAGCTGAGTGTTGTTCTTGTCCCCATTGCCGCCAATGATGAACTGGAAGTTGAAGGGCATCTGGGCGCCCTTGGTGGTGCGGTTGCCGTAGAACTGCATCACATAGTCCAGGCCCGAGTAGGTCTCCACCATGATCACCCGCGTGTCGCCGCCGTGGATGCGCTGGTAGTCATCCAGCAGAGTGCGCCACTGGAACACCATCTCCACCGTTTCGCGCAGGTCCTGGGTGTAGATGTGCTTCAGGTAGGAGGAGTCATCCGTATCGTTCGTGTAGCCACTGAGCGGCTCGTCGGGATAGCGACCTTCGGCGTCGGGTAGAACCTCAAAGCACCAGGGCACCGCGTCCATGCGGAACCCAGCCACCCCGCGGTCCAGCCAGTAGGTCAGCACCCGCTTCATCTGCGCCACCACGGCGGGATTGCGGTAGTTGAGATCCGGCTGCTTGACGGCGAACTGGTGGAGGTAGTACTGCTGGCGCTCCTCGTTCCACTCCCAGGCACTTCCGCGGAAGGCTTGGAGCCAGTTGCTCGGCGGTTCCCTCGCCCCAGTGGAGGCGTTCTTGTAGCCATCGTGCCACATGTAGTAGTCCTCGTAGCCCTTCTCCCGCTTGACCGACTTCTGGAACCAGACGTTCTCGTCGCTCGAGTGGTTGGGCACGAAGTCCAGGATGATCTTGATGTTCCGCTTGTTGGCCTCCACGATCAGCTCATCGAAGTCGGCCAGCGAGCCGTACTCCTCCTGGATGTCGTAGAAGTCGGATATGTCGTAGCCAAAGTCCGCCATGGGCGACTTGTAAATGGGCGACAGCCAAGTGGCCGTCACCCCGATCTCCTTCAGGTAGTCCAGCTTGGAGATGATGCCCTGCAGGTCGCCGATGCCGTCGCCATTGGAGTCCTTGTAGGAGCGCGGATAGATCTGGTAGAACTGCGCCACCTGCCACCAGTCTCGAGTGGTGTCCGTGGAGGTGGTGGCCCGCTCAAGGTCCAGGTCCACGGCTGCCGTACGCCCAAGGGCGCAGTGAAGACCCAGTAGGAGAACCGCTACGATAAAGTTACTTAAACACGCCATGACTGACTGACCACCGGGTCGGTGGGAACCAGCATTTATAGACCGCCGCCCCACAGATTTTTCCACCGATAGGTGCTCAAGTGCTTTGATTGCCTTTATTGTGAGTAATCTATTAGAAAATAACAATAGGGTGGGAACTCATCGGCTGCTCAGATAGAGCGCCACTTGAGCCAACCAGAGATAAACCCCCAGGACGGGCAGAAGCCGAGACTCTCCGTTGGTGGCGTAACTATAGTATGAGGAGGTGGACTGCAGGATCAGCGAGTCCTTGGGCTGAAGTTGCAGCGAGGTGGAGTTGATGAGATCGCTGTGAGGGAAAAAGACAATAAGAGGGACTTCTAAATGGAGCCGAATGACCACCTACCCCACTTTGACTTGAGATCGCTCTGTGACCACCACTACTTTGAGTTCAGGTGGCAAGTCGGGGAAACTCTGCCGCAGATTAATGGTCTCCACGCCGTCGTAAATATTCAGCAGGGTCAAAAAGGTCGAGTCATGTTCGAGACCCCTGCGAAAAACAATTGTTATTGTCGGACCATTCAAAGTCCCCGTATCTATCACCTTTTCACGGCCAACACTGCATCGCTGAGGGCCTTCACTTCAGTTTCGCCGCGCTGAAGAGTGTTCGACTGCTTCCTCAACTGCCAGAGCTGCTTGAAGACGTTTAGGTGACTCAGGGGCTTCTGCCTCTCCAGCTCCACATTGACCAGCTTGTAGTCCAGGGCGATGGGCAGCCAGGTCTTGCTGGCATTACTGAATCCGGCATCCTGGGCGTCCGTCCACTGGAAGGGCGTGCGCTCCGGATCGCGGGAGTACTGCTCGTAGATGCTCGGGTTGGTGTTGCAGGCGGAGGGATCCACGGTGTCCTTCCACGAGATCCACACATCGGTCATGCCCAGCTCCTCGCCCTGGTAGGTGACACTGGCGCCGGGCAGAGTGGCGGTGAGCATGTTCAGCATGTCCACCCTGTCGCGGCCCAGGCGGGAGCCCACTCGGGGCTTGTCGTGGTTGCCCAGCTGGAGGGGAAATTCTGGTACTTTAATCGGGAACACTAATGGACCAGTGGACCACCTACCACCCAGTTGGCCGTGCGCCCCTGGGGCATGTGCTGCAGCCACTTGAGCGCCGTTCCCTCGTAGGCGTGGGCATTCGACGAGTTGCTCAGCTCGCTTATCAGCAGAAAGTTGAACGGCAGCTGAGCGCCCTCCGCCGTGGCATTGCCGTAGTACTGCATCACGATATCGATGGGTGAATAGGTCTCGGCCATCAAGATGCGCTCCTCGCCGCCGTGCTCCCGCTGGAACGAGTCCAGCACCGCGCGCCACGAGTAGACCAGGTCAATGGTCTCCGGCTGGTCCACCGTGTAGATGTGCTGCAGATAGCCGTAGTCCTCGGGGTCGTTGTCCCAGTCGTTGCGCGGCTCATCGCGGTACTGGTTCTGAGCGTCCGGCGCTATCTCGAACACATGGGGCACTGCATCGATGCGAAAACCGGATACGCCCTTGGCCAGCCAAAATCTCAAAACATTCTGCGATAAAGTAAATAAAATAAAATAAAGTAAAATTTGTCCACATAAATACTTAACCTAGTATTAAAGGGGACATATGCCCTTGCCGAAGGAATTCTAGTTTTGGTCAGAAATTGCAATGCAGTAAATGAAACCAATATGACTAAATAGATTATATATCATATGTCCATAAAGTCCGTCTTAACATCTTTTTAAAAACTAGAGAAGATTTGCAATATATTTGTGTACGATAGCTACCATGGGAATGCTTCGAATTTGTGAAATTTTGATCTTCTGGACTATTATAAGGTTTTTATACCCTTGCAGAGGGTATTATAATTTCAGTCAAAAGTTTGCAACGCAGAGAAGGAGACATTTCCGACCCTATAAAGTATATATATTCTTGATCAGCATCACCAGGAGAGTCGATCTAGCCATGTCCTTCTGTCCGTCTGTCCGTCCGTCCATTTCTACGCAAACTAGTCCCTCAGTTTTAAAGCTATCTGCTTGAAACTTTCCCAAAAGTTGTATTTCTATTGCAGGTAGTATATAAGTCGGAACGTGCCGGATCGGGCGACTATATCATATAGCTGCCATATAACTGAACGATCGAAAAAGCCATAACGTTGGTGTTTTTAAAGTTAGGAAGTTGGGATTTTCTATGGGTTTTATTTTTGGATATTCAATCCGACCTACCGAATTTCATAAGGTTCGGACGACTATATCCTATAGCCGCCATAAAACTGATTGATCGGAAATGCCATAGCTTTGGTGTTCGTAAAGTTAGGAAGTTGGGATTTTCTATGGGTTTTATTTTTGGCCAATCAATCCGACCTACCAAATTTCATAAGGATCGGCCGACTATATCTTATAGCTGCCATATAACTGAACGATTGGAAATGTCATAACTTTGGTGTTTTTAAAGTTAGGAAGTTGGGACTTTTTATGAGTATTAAGAATGCATCATATGAATATTCTGCAAGGGTATATCAACTTCGGCTCCGCCCGAAGTTAGCTTTCCTTTCTTGTTATTCCATGTTCTAACCTTGAGCGCAGCGGCCAAATATCTGTCATACTGACCATACGACTCGGTATATATATAATATTTTTGCATAATGATTGCAATCACTTTTGAATTTTCGATATACTCACACTCATGGTCTCCCGCACTTTTGGATTGCGATAATTTAAATCGGGCTGTTTCTTTACGAACTGGTGCAAGTAGTACTCCTGGCGCCCGTCGTGCCACTGCCAAGCACTTCCACGGAAAACACTGATCCAGTTGGACGGCGGATGCCTGTTTCCGTTCTCCATTCGACCAGGGTGCCACACGTAAAAGTCCTTGAACTCCGGATCACCCGCCGCCGACCGACGGAACCACTCGCACTCGTCACTCGAGTGGTTGGGCACAAAGTCCAGGATGATCTTGATGTCCAACTTCTTGGCCACTTCCATCAGATGGTCAAAGTCCGCCATGGTGCCGAAAATCGGGGCCACCTCAGTGAAATTGGCAATATCGTAGCCAAAGTCCGCCATAGGTGAGGTGAAGATGGGCGACAACCAAGTGGCAGTGATACCGATTTCCTTGAGGTAAGGCAGTTGCTCCGCAATTCCTGACGGATATAACAAGTAAATACCTATTTATTGAAATTTGCCTGCTCTCCTCACCATTTAGATCGCCCACGCCATCGCCGTTGCTGTCTTTAAATGACCTTGGATAAATCTGGTAGAATGCGCCTGTCTGCCACCACTTGAGATCGCTATCCCGATCTCCGATACTGACGAAGTCCGCATGGTAATTGGGAAAGGGTTGGCTCCACGTTAAACAGATAACCTGGAGAAGTACCGCAATCAATGCCCCCAGGCGGTGTTTTATCATTATAGACCGCTTGTATTGCAGGTAACCGGTCTGATTAATACAGTTCTGTTCTGAGCAACCACACAAATGCGACTGGCGACCAAATGCAAAGCAGAATAATACGGCGCCCTTCCTTATATAAATGCCAATGAGTGGGGGAGACAAACAGACATGGGCTCAGACTCAAATGTTTGGGTGCCAATATAGTTTATGTTACATTTATTGATTTTCTTATACGAATTTTAAATTTAATTATGACACAAAAATTACTCATAGATAAAAATATTTGCGAAGGGGGGAGGGGGTCATTTGATTCACAACTTACTTTACTTTTAATACATAAAATTAAAATCGTAATTCTATGTTGCAAGTGGTAAAGTGTTTGCGAAACTCAACTGTTATTTTGCGTGCGGAATTTTTATTACATCCCTGTTGGCATCAGATTTGTTATTCTCTACGCCCATGTACAACATGCATATATTTTATTTTTAAACTGCGCACAGAATCGGGAGAAAGAAGAGAGATTAGCAGTGATCTTAGGAGAGTATGGAACGAGAGCATCGCGCTCTGTTGACACTTATATGCGGTGGCAGATTTCAGGGGAAAGGGATTATCAGCGGAGAGAAAATATGTACTATCGTCAACATAATTCCATTAAAAAATACAAAGCTGTTTATCTTAAAAACTTTTGAATTACCCTCTGCAAGAATATAACAATAGTGGATGAGAAATAAAGTTAAAGGAACGTCTGGTTTTCTAAAAAATGTTGCCTTTCCCAACAGGTTTTATTCAAAACCGGCGCTAAATGCACTTTCATGAACTTTAAAGGTATTTGAAACAAGAAAGGAAAGCTAACTTCGGGCGGAGCCGAAGTTGATATACCCTTGCAGAATATTCTATAAATTATATTCTCCAAAATTATTCATATGATGCATTCTTAATACTTAAAAAAAGTCCCAACTTCCTAACTTTAAAAACAACAAAGTTATGTCATTTCCAATCGTTCAGTTATATGGCAGCTATAAGATATAGTCGGCCGATCCTTATGAAATTTGGTAGGTCGGATTGATTAACCAAATATAAAATCCATAGCAGATCCCAGCCTCCTAACTTTACAAACACCAATGTTATGGCATTTCCGATCAATCAGTTATATGGCAGCTATAAGATATAGTCGGCCGATCCTTATGAAATTTGGTAGGTCGGATTGATTAACCAAATATAAAATCCATAGAAGATCCCAGCCTCCTAACTTTACAAACACCAATGTTATGGCATTTCCGATCAATCAGTTATATGGCAGCTATAGGATATAGTCGTCCGATCCTTATGAAATTTGGGAGGTCGGATTTATTAGCCAAAAATAAAACCCATAGAAAATCCCAACTTCCTAACTTTAAAAACACCAAAGATATGGCATTTCCGATCGTTCAGTTATATGGCAGCTATATGATATAGTGGCCCGATCCGGCTCGTTCCGACTTATATACTACCTGCAATAGAAAGACAACTTTTGGGAAAGTTTCAAGCAGATAGCTTTAAAACTGAGGGACTAGTTTGCGTAGAAACGGACGGACAGACGGACAGACGGACAGACGGACGGACAGACGGACGGACAGACGGACAGACGGACATGGCTAGATCGACTCTCCTGGTGATGCTGATCAAGAATATATATACTTTATAGGGTCGGAAATGTCTCCTTCACTGCGTTGCAAACTTTTGACTGAAATTATAATACCCTCTGCAAGGGTATAAAAAGTGAATCATAATGCTATTCAATTGTTTAATTCATCACAAGGGGATAAACTAAGCCGTAGTCGTGGATCGCAGCACAATGGCCTCATGAGGCATCAGGGTGACGCTTCTGGCGGACAACTGGTCGCCAACCTTCTTGATGGACTTTTCGGTGACCAGGGCGTACTGGAAAGTGGCGGGCAGGCTGCCGAACACATTGGTAAGGTTCACATTCTCGATGGAGTCAAAGATGTTGAACAGCGAGATGTAGACGTAGTCGCCGCTGAGGTGGCTGTAAAAAAAAACAGTTATTGATATAAATAATACATTGACTCATTTAAGAGGCCAAGAAGGCCAAAGAAGCCAAGTAGTTATTTTAGAAATGTATATTTTAAAAACATGTTTTACTATTTATGGAAGATGCGTACTTATGGAGCTCATCTGCACTGAAGTTTCCCATTTGTGCGCAGTTTTAATTGGAAAAAAAGTGTAATGGTCTTTCTCTAATTTAATTGGTTATTTTACCCGTGCTAACAAACACAATAACTAAATTTAAACCAACTTAGAGGTGAGAACGAAAAATGTTTATTTTCAGTAAGAAAAGGCTTTTAGTTACTAAAAAAGATGTTCAAAAAGTTAGCAACGCAACTATTGAAAATCAAACTTTTTTATTCATATTTTTATACCCTTGCAGAGGGTATATAATTTCAGTAAAAAGTTTTAATTAAATTAAAATCGGACAACAATATCATATAGCATACAGCGCAAAATCGACATAGCTTCATTGTCTTTACTAATATATGCATAGAAATCGAAATGTAGATTTGTAACAACTGCAAAAGTATATCAACTTGGGCTTGCCGAAGTTTGCTTTTTTTCTTGTTTTCTATTAGTTTTAAAGAACACGAGAACGGAAGATAGCTCCGGCAAGCAAAACTTTTGTACTTTGCATTCTTACTAAAAATGGATGGAAGCGTGCACTGCGCAAATATATAAAACGTAGCGAATATAAAAAAACATTATATTATGCAATAAAGTAAATCGACAAACAAGAAAGGAAGCGAGCTTCGCATGTTGATGTTTATATACCCTTAAAAACTCTATTTTTAGATGATTTTCCGTTATTCTGAAATCAATAAAATCAAAACGACTACATTTCGATTTCTATGCATGTATTACAAAAACAATGAAGCTATGTCGATTTTGCGCTGCATTTTTCCATCGTTTCTTTTAGACGGAGCTCGCCCAGTAAAGCTAATAAATAATGTATTAAAAACTTTATACTTCAATGCATTACAAAAAGATAACGAAATAAATAAACAAAAGCATTAGATTGAGCGCACCTTCTAGTTGAGCCTCCCCTTAATAATTGCTAAATTTGTATCGAAAAAATTAACTGCAACTCACCGCTTGACCGCCAGGACGTAGTTGCTAACGGCCTTGATCTCGGCGGATCCCTCCTCAATACTGGGCTCCTGGCGCAGCTGCTGCAGGCGCTTGAACACGTTGAGGTGGCTCAAGGATACCCCGCGCTCCGTCTTCACGTTCCTCTGGGGGTAGTCGGATGACACTGGCAGCCAGGTGCTCTTGCCAGTAGTGAAACCAGCCAGGGATTCGTCCGACCAGTGCATCGGAGTGCGAGCCGGGTCCCGAGAGTTGTCCATGTAGTTCGACTCGTACCCGTTGCAGGCCTGCGGATCCACGGTGTCCTCCCAGGAGACGTACCCATCGAGCATGCCCAGCTCCTCGCCGTTGTAGGTGATGCTGCAGCCGGGCAGGGTCAGCAGCAGGATGTTGAAGAGGTCAACCCGATCGGCTCCGAAACGGGAGCCCACGCGGTTCTTGTCGTGGTTGCCGATCTGCTCACGAAGGTATAATTTAATAATTGCCACTAATCGTTCTTTCCGTCTCTGATGATTAACTAATTGCTAATCACCGATTAACTCACCACCCAGTTGGCGCTCTTGCCCTCGGGCATCAGATTAAGCCAGTTGTTAATCAAATACTCGTAGTGATAGGCATCGGAGTCGTAGTACAGATTGCTTATCAGCTGAAAGTTGAACGGTATCTGGGCACCATCGGCGGTCTCGTTGCCATAATAATGCATGACGATCTCAATTGGGGACCAGGTCTCCACCATCAAAATGCTAAATAATGTGAATTGGAACTTAGATCCCTCCATTCATATTTAGTTTATGAATTACTCACCGCTCATCGCCGCCATTGTCAGCTTGGAACTGCTCGAGGATTTGACGCCATTCGTAGCTGGAAATAATGAAAATGAAAATAGAGTTTCACGGCAGATCCTCGGCAATCCACACTTACACCAGGTGAGGGGTCTCCGGCTGGTCCACGGTGTAGATCTTGTGGGTGTATCCGTACTCATCTGGGTCGTCGGTCCAGTCGTTACGTGGCTCATCGGGATAGTTACCATCCTCGTCGGCCTCGATCTCGAAGGCGTGATAAATGGCATCCACACGGAAGCCGTCGACGCCCTTCTCCAGCCAGAAACGCAGCACGTTGTTCATCTCCTCGCGCACCACGGGATTGCGGAAGTTGAAGTCCGGCTGCTTCTTGTGGAACTGGTGCAGGTAGTACTCCTGGCGACCTTCGTGCCACTCCCAAGCACTTCCGCGGAACACGCTCACCCAGTTGGTGGGCGGCCGACGGGTTCCGTCGTCGTTGAGGAATCCCGGGTGCCAGATGTAGTAGTCCTTGTACTCCTCTTCGCCGGCAGCCGATCGCACGAACCAGTCGCACTCATCACTGGAGTGATTGGGCACGAAGTCCAGGATGATCTTGACGCCCAGCTCCTTGGAGCGGGTCACCATCTCCTCGAAGTCCTCCATCGTTCCGAAAAGAGGGTCAACCGCTTTGAAGTCGGAAATATCGTACCCGAAGTCGGCCATCGGAGACTTGAGGAAGGGCGACAGCCAGGTGGCTGTCACACCGATCTCCTTCAGGTACTCCAGCTTCTCGGTGACTCCGTTCAGGTCCCCGACTCCATCGCCGTCGGTGTCTTTGAAGGATCGTGGGTAGATCTGGTAAAAGGAAGCGGTCTTCCACCAGGGCGCCGCCGCATCGACGGCCAGAAGGCCAAGGCCCAAAAGCAGAAACAGGCCAGTCCAAGTGGTCATTGCTTACTGTAAGCGGTGCGATTCGAATCGGCTTCTTATATACGGCGATAATCTAAGGGGCTTATCGTTACTGGTTCTGGCGCGAAATCCCGTATGACCACCTGGGGAAAATATATGACGGAACCTTTGGCTCCAGAATAAAAAACAGAAGATATTGATGCATCATATGTTGGAAGACATCTGGGCAGCAATACTCGACAGGTTTTTACCTATATACCCGAAGATCCCGTAACTGAAATGTATAATATATACATCATTTATTTAGTATTAGTTAACGTATACGATAAGATTTGAATATTTTCATACCGATTATGATTTTTCCCGATCATTTAGTTTTAGCCTAAACATATAACATATAATCGATGACAAATTTCGCTTTAAAACAATCTTGGCCAACATCAGCTGTTGCTCACCAATGACCTACACCCATAAAGATTTAGTTATTGAATCACTTCAGTGAAATACGTTATCACAACCTTGAACCCCCAAGTCTTCCACTTCTAGTAGCCCAAAATCCCAATAAAAGTGACCCAATAAATTACCCCCCCTGCGGAATCCAAGAACCAATCCTGCGATAAGATATGGGTCTATGCAGTTGGTACTCATTTGCCTTCCAATCTGTCTCATGATCTTTGGGCGTGAGCCAGTGCAAAATAGCCACCAAATTGAGTCTCATAAATTCCACAACCTCATTTTGTGGATTGTAAATCTGCCAGCGACAAGCTAATCAGAAATAGTTGGCTATATGGCGGGTTTATCGCCACCGTTGATTAGATGGAGCGGTGGGCATAAATAGAAGCGCTGTGTAATCCCTCCGCTCATTGGCAATCGATCGATTTAGTGGGAGCCATGTTCAAGTTGCTGGTGCTTTCGTGCCTTTTGGCTTTGGCGCTGCCCTCGCTAGCGGAAGTTGGCTGGTGGAAAACGGGCCAGTTCTACCAGATCTACCCGAGATCTTTCAAGGATAGCGATGGTGACGGCGTGGGCGATCTCATCGGTGAGTTTGGGTCTTGGAAATCACTTGGATTGCATATTTACCTTACCCCGTAACCAGGAATTACGCAACAACTGGCCTACCTGAAGGAAATCGGCATCACTGCCACCTGGCTGTCCCCGATCTTCACCTCGCCCATGGCCGACTTCGGCTACGATGTGGCTGATCTCAAGAACATCGATCCCATCTTCGGCACCATGGCAGACTTCGAAGCACTGGTGGCTCGCGCCAAGGAGCTGGACATCAAGATCATCCTGGACTTCGTGCCCAACCACACGAGCGACGAGTGCGACTGGTTCATCCGATCGGCTGCTGGCGAGGCGGAGTACAAGGATTTCTATGTGTGGCACACCGGAAAGGTTGTCAACGGCATCCGCCAGCCCCCCACTAACTGGATCGGCGTCTTCCGTGGCTCCATGTGGACCTGGCACGAGGGTCGCCAGGCCTACTACCTCCACCAGTTCCACGCCAAGCAGCCCGATCTCAACTACCGCAACCCCAAGGTCGTGGAGGCCATGAAGGATGTCCTGCGGTTCTGGCTGCGCAAGGGAGCCTACGGCTTCCGCATTGATGCGGTGCCCCATGTGTACGAGGTGCCAGCCGACGCCGATGGCAACTGGCCCGACGAGCCCAGGAACGAGGAGGTGAGCGATCCCGAGGACTACACCTACCTGCAGCACATCTACACCACCGACCAGCCGGAGACCCTGGAGCTGGTCTACGCCTTCCGCGACGTGATCGAGGAGATCGACGCCGAGCTGGGCGGCGACGATCGCGTCCTGCTCACCGAGGCCTACTCGCCACTGGATATCCTGATGCAGTACTACGGAAACGGAACCCACCTCGGCTCCCAGATCCCCTTCAACTTCGAGCTGCTGTCAAAGATCAGCTACAGCTCCGACGCCTACCACTACTCGGAGCTGATCCACAACTGGCTGGACAACATGCCCGAGGGCCAGGTGGCCAACTGGGTGTTCGGCAACCACGACCAGAGTCGCATTGGCTCCCGCCTGGGCGCCGACCGCATCGACGCCTGCAACATGATCATCCTGGGCCTGCCCGGCGTGAGTGTCACCTACCAGGGCGAGGAGATGGGCATGACCGACGTGTGGATCAGCTGGGAAGACACCGTGGACCCGCAGGCCTGCCAGTCCAACGAGCAGGAGTTCGAGCGCCTCACCCGCGACCCCGTGCGCACTCCCTTCCAGTGGAGCGACGAGCAGAACGCCGGGTTCTCCAACGCCTCTGTCACCTGGCTGCCGGTGGCCAGTGACTACAAGCTGGTCAACGTGAAGAAGGAGCGGGGCATCGCTCTGAGCCACCTGAACGTGTACAAACAACTGCGAGCTCTGCGGGATGAGCCCACCCTGAAGCAGGGCGATGTCAGTGTCTCAGCCATTGGACCCAATGTGCTGGCCTTCAAGCGGTGGGTTGAAAACCGTGTACCTTAAACCCAAATCTTTAACGACCCCTTCACTCACAGCTCCCTGGCTGGCCAGAAGTCCTACATCACCGTCATCAACATCAACGATGATGTCGAGTCGATCAACTTGGACTCCGTCTTCACCTCCATCACCACGCAACTGCAATATGTGGTGGTGAACGATAAGAGTGCGCGTCGCAAGAAGTAAGTGCTAGTCACCTAAAATCCTCCATGACATATAGTGTTTAATCTGTTACCTTATCGTTTCAGCGATCTTACCTTTGCCAACTCCGTGCTGCTGATGCCCAAGGAGGCCGTCGTGCTGAGCACAGTCTAAGCTAATTCAATAGGTCTTTAATAAAGAATAATCAAAAAAAAGAAATATGATCGCATAACTTCCTCGTGGGGGTTGGATTACTCAACGGGCGGCTTATCTTTGTGATGGCCTCATAAACAGTTGTATAGAAACTGATTAGAAACACCCCCACTGAAAGTTTGAATAATGGTCATTTAATTTATTGGCCAATTAGGCTAGAGTGGATTCTGGGTATTCCGCATCGAATTCTTATTACTATCGATCACGTTTATTCCAAAATTAATCCATAGTTATTGCACTAACGCAATAGGGCCTAATTTCGGTATCTTTAAGTGGGTTATGTTACAGTCAAGGTCTGGGTAATTGGCACTTCAAGTTCGTTTTGATATATGGCTGCGAACACATGCTTCGAAAAGCTGACAGGGCTTATCTTTATGGGGGACCCCAATAGCATTCGATACTGATTAACAGGAAATAAACAAAGAATTTATTTTTTAAATAACTTGTAATCAGGGTGAAGTGCATTACGCCAACCAGCGTAGAACGACTGCTTCGTAGGGCATGAGAATGATTCTCTGCGACAGATCAACTTTTTGCCTGTGGATTTATTCGAGTTAGTTTGGGTATTCGGTGGAGCAGTAGATAGCAGAGACTTACCCCGCATAGTGGGTGGAGTAGGCAGTGACCAGCACATACTCGTAGGTCTTGGACGCTAGTCCATTGAGGATCTCCATATCGTTGCCCAGGTTCACCAAGATTCGATACTCCTCGCTGTACTTGTTGGTGCTGGAATTACATGATGTTCCCTAGCTAAAGGTCATATTAGGTAAAAACTTTAATTAACCTACCGTATAATCTGCAGGACCTGTTCCGTGACCGCTTCGTAGGAGAAGCCTCCTTCGTCCTTAAATGCTAAAAAGGCTGCGCTGCTCTTCAGCTCCTGCAGGCCTTTGAATATGTTCAGCGAGGATCTGGATACCCCGCGCTCCGTCTGCACATTGTACCTTTGATATTCAGGACTTAGCGGCAACCAGGTGCTCTCTCCCTGGGAGAAGTCGGCGTTTTTTCCGGCGGTCCACTGCATGGGCGTTCGCTCGCCATCCCGATCCTCACAAGAGTCGCCAGTGCACTCCACGTCCACGTTGGACATGCCGATCTCCTCTCCGTAGTAAGTGACCGAAGCTCCTGGCAGGGAGTTCACGATCACATTGAGCAGATCCACCTTGTGGGCCCCCATGCGATCCGCCACGCGGTTGGTGTCGTGATTGCCAACCACCCAGTTGGCCGTCTGGTGCTCCGTCCACATGGTCTGCATCCAGTAGTCGATGGACCCCACCACATCCCTCGCGGTGGAGTACCCACTGAGATACATCAGCTGGAAGTTCATGGGCAGCTGGGTGCCCTGATGGCTGCTGTTCCCGAAGTAAGCACTCAGTGTTTCCACGGAGGAATAGGCCTCGGCCAGCAGAACCCTGGAGTCGCCTCCATTGTCCGCTCGATACTTATCCAGGAAAGCCCGCCACTCGTACATCAGATCCACGGTGGCTGGCTGATCCTTGGTGTAGATGTGGTCGTGGTAGTCGTAGGCGTTGGGATCACTGCCCCAGCCGCTAATCGGCTCATCAGGGTAGGAGCCATTCGCGAAGCGGTACTCGTAGATGTGGGGGACCGCATCGATACGGAATCCGTCCACTCCGCGGTCCAGCCAAAACTTCAGCACGTCCAGCATGTGCTCCCTGACCATGGGATTGGTGAAATTGAGATCCGGCTGCTTCACCTGGAACTGGTGCAGGAAGTACTGCTGGCGCTTCTCGTTCCACGTCCACATGGGCCCGCTGAACACACTGACCCAGTTGGAGGGCGGCTCCCTCTGCCCCGTCTCCGCATTCAGCTTCCCGTCGTCCCACACGTAGAAGTCGTCGTAACCCTCTTCGCGATTCACCGACTTTTCGAACCACTCGTTCTCGTCGCTCGAGTGGTTGGGCACAAAGTCCAAGATGATCTTCACGCCCAGCGACTTCGCCTCCGCGATCAGGGCGTCGAAGTCCGCGAGAGTACCGAAAATCGGATCTATGTCGTAGAAGTCGGAGATGTCATAGCCGAAGTCGGACATGGGCGAGGTGAAAATGGGCGACAGCCAGGTGGCCGTGATGCCGATCTCCTTGAGGTAGCCCAGCCTGGAGGTGATTCCCTTCAGGTCCCCGATGCCGTCGCCGTCGCTGTCCTGGAAGGAGCGCGGATATATCTGGTAGAGCGAGGCGTTCTCCCACCAGTCGATGTCCGCACCAGCCCCACCCAAAAGGGCGGTGGAAGCGAGGAGGAGAGCCGCCAGGCCGAGATGTGCCCACTGTGGCATTTCGATAGCGTTTGAGTGGGCCAAACTCAATTTGCTAATAACAATTGCCGGCCATGTAGCGATTGAGGGGCCGATAAGGCCGCAATTGCTCCGACCAACTGGTAATCTGTCAGTGTTTTATCGCATATTTTCTAGATTAAATAAGCGCGGACTGGGCTTTTTCCCGCCTCTCTTTCCTTTTATTGGATATTCCAATAAAGCGCGAATTGTCGTAAAATTGCAATAAAAATGTTTAAAATGATTGGTTTACAAATAAACCGATGACTGGCCTGTGATTCGCAAACTGGATCAATACCTTTTATTAATGTCTGAACTTAAATGTACTGTAAAGAGTCGACAAAGCACACTTCGGAAGTTTAGATACTCGTAACATAAAATTTGTTTTTTACAATTTATATATTTTTTTGAAATGCAAAACAATGTTTCAAATATAGGTGGAAATTTTTTTTTAAATTAACAATTTTACAGTCCATAAAAAGTTTTTATTGTATCTCAAACATGCTAGCGAGTTATAAAAGATGATTATATTTTAGGAAATCTTGAAATCTGTACTGAATTCAAAACTAGCGCTCTTGGCAGTCTCCCTAAAATTATTTATGAAAGTCCCTTTCTAGATTATTTTATTTGTTCATTTGCTCCTGGCTAAATAAAATTTCCCCCCGAAATGTGAACTTTTTGAAAGTTGCAGCTAATTAGTCACATCTCCTGCAGCCCTATTGGAACGACTAGAACGGATATTAAGTTACTCTAGCAAACATGAACCCAATTTTTGTGTTGTATCCTTGAATCAGGTTCAACCGGATCCGGAGGGGATATGCCTGTATTTTCATGGTGTTTTTTCAAGTTCACCACTCGTTATACCGCCCAAGGCAATCCACTCGAAGCGGTTTAAATTCAATTAAAATACTCTCTCGTCACGTATGCGAGCTAACTTTTTTAGTCCTGCATCCCATCATGCCACTTAATCAGCGTCCAGAGGACAAATGTTTAGCCGGGAATAGTTATTTTAATTCAACATAATTGTTTAGCTGCTGACTTGGTAATTTTAGGTGCTCAGAAAAAAGGAATTTGTTGACTTGACTTGATTGCGTTTAAGGAAACAAGAAACTACTTATGTGAAAAAATAATTTTAGCTTCTGTAAAATTAAATTGTGAATGAGTGCTTCCTATTTTATCTATCTTTATATATACAAATGTTTACCAGAAATGTAATAGTCAACGCACAGCCAAATATTATTAAATAACACTAATAAATTTAGTGTTTATTCCGTTGTAATAACAGTAAACCAATTTGCTAAGAGAAGTCTGGTGGCTGCAAAGCACAGTGGGCGAAAAGGTTCAGCTAGCGCCTTTTAATTAATAACTCTTTTTTTTTTAATTTATGTATTTTTAAAGTAAACAAAAAAAACATTTTTAAATTTACATATACATTTTTTTTAGTAATTTGTAACTTTTTATTGTAGTTTGGAATTTGTTTACTTTAATCATGAGTGCATTATAAATTTATTTAATTTTGTTTTTAATATTTACTTTAATATTAAAAACCAATTTTTTTTAAATATATTTTTTTTTAAATAAAGTAAATGTCTTTAGTGCTTTCACTCTCATATATTTCAGATATGTTTATAAAAAAAAATGTAATCAAAATAAGAACAAATAACCAAATTATTTAAAAAATAATTTTTCTATTAAAATAGACCTCCATCTTTTTTGAGTAGCGATGTGACTTGCGTAAATTTGATATCAGAGGATCTGATGAACATAAAAGAGCACGCATAAGGTCCTCCATTGTATTTATTCGGGATGTCTTCCGTGTATTGTTTTTACGGAAAATTTGTGTTCCGCGGTTCTAACACTTATTCCAACATTTTCCTATTGGAAGGGGTTTAGTTATGACGGCTCCATGTATTTTAATTTTATGAATGGAGACCGGCATATATAACAAAGACTATATGCTATATAGTTCTGCGGTCTGCATAGTATATTTGCCTACAATTAAGTTAAGTATTTATTTGGCGCAAGCAATAAGACGCAAAATATCACTGAATCTGTGAATTAACGTTCACTCACTCCGTTGATTTCGGATGCTAGATTCAATACCATTTTTTAAACTTTAGCCTCGACGATATATACAGGATACATTCAAAACACCGTATCCATGCGTGAAGGGTTGATAAGCCTTGGGTGTTAAAGATCTCACATAATCGTGGTCATTCAGTACCTTTGGGGAGGCTTTATAAATCCCGCACACTTGGGAAGATGATTCTGTAAAAGCTTTCCTATCTATCATCGTCAAATGAACTTGATGGAATATCTTCAAAGTGGCAATGCTTGTTGGAATCATTTTTATACCCGTTACTCGTAGAGTAAAAGGGTATATTGTATTCGTGCAAAAGTATGTAACAGGCGTTTCCGACCCTATAAAGTATATATATTCTTGTTCAGGATCACTAGCCGAGTCGATCTAGCCATGTCCGTCTGCCTGTCTGTCCTAGGAACGCTGAGATCTCGGAAACTATAAAAGCTAGAAGATTGGCATTTTGCATGTAGATTTTAGGAGTTCCTACGCAGCGCAAGTTTGTTTCAAAATGGTGCCACGCCCCCTCTGACGCCCACAAGCCACAAGCTGTGGCCACAGTTTTGATGCTATTATGAAAATTTTAATTGATATGTATTTGTTTCGTCAATACCTATCGATTGGCCTAATAAAAGTTTGCCACGCCTACTCTAACGCCGAAAAACCCATTAAACGCTTAAGCCTGGCTAGCGCCTACATTTCCGCCTTTCATGGTCCGTGGTACCAATGTCTTGGGGTAGATGGCGCAATACAATAGCGCCATCTAAGGTAAAATAAGTATTAGTAGTATTAGTAGTAAATACATAATTATGCCTTCCGTATGTTACGTATAAACAACATTTTTGGGAACATGGAGATTCCAAACTTGAATAAAGTTTGGTCCCCAAATTTTATTTTTGTTTGAAAGACCCCGTTGCAAATCAACGGCCTCCACGTGGTGTTCCCTGGGTACCGATTTTAACATACAAATCGGGAGCTAATTCGAGCGGCGAAAAACGTACAAGAAGGCATATTTATATTCAGTTATTTAGCTGAGTAACGGGTATCTAATAGTCGAGGCACTCGACTGTAGCGTTCTCTCTTGTTAATCATTAAAACGAGCAATTTCAAGCAAGTCTTTTTAAGGGTCTGCAGAATCAACGTGAAGATGGTTGCGAATTTTTCCAAATTGTCACTGATTCCGCACTAGAATGGGTCAATGCACACTGCAAACAAGTATTTTGGCTATAAGTAGGACCTCTTCTGCATTATACTTTTTAAAATCAAGTATATCATTTATATAACTTAACTTTCCACAGCTGAAAACTTTTTAGTTGACAGGGGCTCGTCGCTCCACAGTAAACATAGGTCTCACGTTGGCTGTTTTCAGGTGGTTAGTAGTATAGTACACTTAAATTACATTTTGTACATGCAACGCTAAAGCACAGGTCACAAACAAACATTTTATACATACCTCTAATTATTAATAAAAACACTTTTTTTTCAATTAATACAAAAAAACAAATTTTCACAAAATTTGGCTATGCACAAAAAAAATGCGGGCAAGCTCATGCTTGTTGTGTTTAATGGCATGCTTGTTGTGTTTAATGGCATACACATTTGATCAGTTATAGCAGTTAAATCGAAATATAAGCCCACTGTGCAAAGGCCCCAAACGATTCCGATTGTAAGCTGTTAAATTAACTCAATTGATTTTAAAATATTGAGCTTTAGAATATTGCCGTTTATATCTATCTATATCCGGATATAGATAAAACTGGAAATAAATATTCATTAAATTGTTCCTTGAACTGGGCAACAAAGTTGTGGCTGCTAGTCTTTTAGAAAAACTTGAATCATTTAATTTTATTTAAATATCCAAATAGACAGAGATCAGCATATATTTGTATTTGAACAACAAGTCTTTCCCTAAGTTTTTTTGTTGTGGCATTGAATTACTAAAGTTATCAAGTGGAACTTGACAATATTGCACAAATGATTATGTTTTGTCACGTTTAGAATGTCCCACAAAACTTGCACAAGGTTATCTAAAAAATATTTCCACGGCATTGAAGGGTGTAGTTATTAATCATAGTATTTCAGCTTACTGTTGGTTGTTTGTTTGCAGTTGAAGAAGTAGGATTTGACTTGTTTTCCTATCAGCTGACTAATGTCCACTTCAATGCCCTACCATAACAAAAGCCTGGCGACAGTTCAGGAAGATACTTGGCTCGAACATCGGTATTTTTCCAGCAATCAAAAGCCATTTGGGAGCGGGTTAATCGCTTTACGTAAAGCTTCGCTGGGAGTACGAAAACAATGACAGTTTTGGTTCGCTGAATTGAGCACCCTGAGAACTCATGTGAGCTATTTGCACAGCAATCCAAATGGGCACTCCAAGTGGTCAGATCTCGATAGGAGCCACCTTATCGCCCGGTATAAAAGGCAGCTGTCAGCTCCCCAGTCCGAACAAAATCTAACAAAATGCGCCCGCAATCAGCTGCGTGCCTATTTCTGGCCATAGTTGGCTTCGTGGGAGCCACCGAGTGGTGGGAGAGTGGAAACTACTACCAGATCTACCCGCGCTCCTTCCGGGACTCCGATGGGGACGGCATCGGCGACCTGAACGGGGTCACCGAGAAGCTGCAGTATCTGAAGGACATCGGCTTCACGGCCACCTGGCTGTCGCCCATCTTCAAGTCCCCGATGGTGGACTTCGGCTACGACATCTCGGACTTCTACACGATCCAGCCGGAGTACGGGACCATGGAGGACTTCGAGCGCATGATCGCCAAGGCCAAGGAGGTGGGCATTAGGATCATCCTGGACTTTGTGCCCAACCACTCGAGCGACCAGAACGAGTGGTTCACCAAGTCGGTGGACAGCGACCCCACCTACAAGGACTTCTACATCTGGCACGACGGCAAGATCAACAACGAGACCGGAGAGCGGGAACCGCCGAGCAATTGGAACTCCGAGTTCCGCTACAGCGCGTGGGAGTGGAACGAGGTGCGCCAGCAGTACTACCTCCACCAGTTCGCCATTCAGCAGGCCGACCTCAACTACCGCAACCCGGCCGTGGTCGAGGAGATGAAGAACGTGATCCGCTTCTGGCTGGGCAAGGGCGTCTCCGGGTTTCGTATCGACGCCGTGCCCTACCTGTTCGAGGTGGACCTCGATCGCTACAACCAGTATCCGGACGAGCCGCTGACCAACGACTCTGTGAGCTGCCCGGATCCGGACGACCACTGCTACACGCAGCACATCTACACGCAGGACCAGCCGGAGACCCTGGACATGGTGTACCAGTGGCGAGAGCTGGTCGACGAGTTCCATGAGACCCACGGCGGAGACAAGAGGCTGCTGATGACGGAGGCGTACACCAGCTTCGACAACATCATCAGCTACTACGGCAACGGGGTGCGGAACGGCTCCCACATTCCCTTCAACTTCGACTTCCTCACGAGCATCAACAACGCCTCGAAGGCCGGGGACTACGTGGACCACATCAAAAAGTGGATGGACGCCATGCCCGCCGGTGTGTACGCCAACTGGGTGCTGGGCAACCACGACAACAAGCGCGTGGCCTCCCGATTCGGTGTCCAGCGCACCGACCTCATCAACATCCTGCTGCAGACGCTGCCCGGTCACGCGGTCACCTACAACGGCGAGGAGCTGGGCATGACCGACGTCTGGATCAGCTGGGAGGACACCGTGGACCCCAACGCCTGCAACTCCGACCCGGACAACTACTACGAACGCTCGAGGGACCCGGAGCGCTCGCCCTACCAGTGGGACGCCTCTTCCAAAGCAGGTAAGGCCAATGATCTTTTTATTGTTTCAAAACACGATTATACTCTTAAGATTTAAACTACGAAACGTAAAAGCTAATTGCTTAATTTTCTTTTGAATATTAACTTATGTGAAAGTAATACTTCTAACCCAGTGCGTATAAAAATAATTAGTAATCAATTAAATTCCATATTTTGACACTCCGTTAGAGTAGTTGGTTGGTATATTCTGATAAGACATTTATTTGTCACACTTTGATTATGATTATCTTATGTACGTAGAACAGACAAGTGTTTTATTAGATTGTAGACTTTAGATGCCAACCTCTTTCCGGGTTGCATAAGAAAGAAGGATTTATAAGTAGCGCTGATATCGTTTTTTTTTTTCAATAGTATTAATTATAATAACGAACTTGGTCCTATTTGCATTGCAGGATTCACCAGTGCCGATCACACCTGGCTGCCAGTGTCCGACGACTACAAGACCAACAACGCCTTGCAGCAGCTGCGCGCTCCCCGATCTCACCTGCAGATCTTCAAGAAACTGGTGCGAGTCCGCAAGGAGCCTTCCTTCCGCCAGGGTGAGCTCAACATTCAAGCCATCGACGACGATGTGATCATCTACTCTCGGTGAGTGTAAAAAACCTACTGACAATAGATCGATTGGTAACTATTTCCCTCTTAACCAGACAAAAGACCGATAGCGATCTCTATGTGATCGTTCTCAACTTGGGCAGCACCTCAAAGACCCTGGACCTGACCAAGTACTATTCTTTGGGCACCCAGGCGGAGGTCATCACCACTTCCCTAAGCTCGCAGTACATCGATGGCGATGTCATCAAGCCTTCGGAGTTCGTGGCCAATCCCTATGTGGGCACCGTTCTTGTGGCAGTCTAAGCTAATTTTATTCAAATAAGAGCCAATAAAGTAGCGACCTTATACAAAATGTAAATTATACATGTATTTAACAAAATTCAAAATAGTTATGTGCCTAAAAGTGTGCTGCTTACTTATCTCAAAGAGCAGCATTTAACGCCTCTGCTTCATGCGCAGGTGTAGACCATTCTCAGACTTCAGAGTCATTGCAGCCGACAAAACCGGATCGTATTTATGGATATGCGCATCGCGCTTCTTCTTCTCCGCAGGAGGAAGACCCAGTGTCGTGCTTACATAACCGTCCTTGGAAACTAGCTCATCCAGAGCAGGCAATACCTCGAAGTTGCGAATGATCTTCGACACCACGGTCTTGATCTCCAGCAGAGCGAACTTCTGGCCAATACAGTTTCGTGGACCGGCACTGAAGGGCACATACTCAAAGGGTCCAGGTTTCTCCAGATCAAAGCGTTCTGGTCGGAATTTGTGGGGATCCTTGAAGACACTATCATTGTAGCCTAGCATCAGAAGACCCAAGTTTAAGGTTGTGCCTTTCGGCACAATGTCGCCATCTAAAAATTTATCGTGGTTAACGCTATAGGAAAACTTAATTTTAATAATCTTACCAATCACATAATCTTTCTCCGTAAAGCGACCAATGAAAGGCACACTCGGATAAAGACGTTGGGCCTCCTTAATGAACAAATCCAAATATTTCATTTGGGAAATTTCCTGGAAGGTGGCATCTCGACTCAGTCCAGAATCACCCATCACTTCGCATTGTTCGTTAAATAATTTTTTCTGTAAAGAAAAAACAATCATTAAGATGACTTGGACTTAAAACTAACGTCGAAAATAGATCACCTGCTCATCTTGATGTCTGGAGAGCAGATATACTGCAAACCCAACTCCAGATGTAGTTGTGTCGTGCCCCTCGAACATAAATGTGGAAACTTCTTCATAAAGCTCTTGCGAAGTCAATGGACGTCCATCCACTGTGGACGAAAATAGAGTATCCAGAAAGGCCATCTTCTTGCGGGAGAACTCATCATCTTGGCTGTTGGACTCAGCAACTGAGTTTCGAGCTTTAATTCGCTTTGCAATTATCTCATTGGTGAAGTCCTGCAGGGTTCTTAGAGTCCTTCTATAGGCTGGATATTCAGGAGCCAAGCGGTAGAGAGTTTCATTACGCTTCCACGGATTAAAGGCTCTCATCTTAATGTTGTAGCACATGCTAAGCGGGTAAATAAATTAAAAGTCTGATAGTACAGCGTCTTTACAGCGTGGATTTAACAGATTACCCATTACTTACTCCTTGAAGGCCTGCACAACGGAAGCGCTTCGGTTTTCCATGGCATTTATAGACACACCCATGGCAGTGTCGCAGATAACATCCAAGGTAAAATAGTGAGTCTCCTCCTGGAAATCAAATATATTGTCTCCTGCCGCCACCTTCCTCAAGTGATCGATGAACTTGCTGGAGTTTTCGTTCATCACCTCATGGAAGTCCTGCAGGATGTTGAAGTGGAAAGCAGGAGTGATCATCTTGCGGTGCTTGTGCCATTTGCTGCCAGTACTGGTCAAAAGCCCAAGTCCCAACCACGGATGCGTCAGATCGTAGACATCAGACTTGGATATCAGTGTCTGGCTGCTGAGTATAAACTTTTTTGAACATCCATTATATTTTGAGTGCCATTTGTGATATTTACAAGAAAAACTCACTTCCATGTACTTGGGACTTGTGACCATAATATTTGAATAGAAGCCTATCCAGTATCGAAAATTATCCTTGTTATACTCATGCCACCAGTCAAAAAATCGGTTTAAAATTTCTAAGGATAGAACATATTATAAAAGCTAATAGTATTGCACACTCAATAGTTACAATGTTTAATGCAAATGCTTTGCTTTGTGTATTATTGATTAGTTTTTACATGTGAGTTAGAACTAATTTCAGCGACAGTAATTTAACTTTTCGTCTCACTATAAGTCTGATTAGTATGGCCAGATTAGTGCCATTGTCATCACTGCACAGAATTACTAAGTTATCACACGCCCAGGGCTTGATGGTATCTAAAGGGGACTTTGATCCCCAGCGAACTAAGATGCCAGACATAATAAAATTCGTCTAGATTACACAACTGCGCATTGCATTCACCTGTGGGAGTCTTCCCCATCTGATGGGCATTGCCCACCACGGGCAGCATTCTTGGCCCCTGGAACTTGTTTAGCATTCGTTTTCGACGCAGTGACCCGAACTCGAAATAGGCCACCAAAAGCAGCGGAAGGCTAATGACAGCGCACAGTATTATCCACATTTTCGAACGCGACCGCAGACAACCGATCGGTGCAGCGAGTGAATCGGAATTGAGTGAAAGGTGGGAGACACTCTGCTTTAATACTCCAACGAATCGCGGCACATAGTTCTCAGCTTCTCGCACTTGGAATCTCTCAAACGGCCTATGAAGAAATATTCTCCGCCAAACCAGAGAAAAGATTTCTATGCTTTCAGCATGACTTGCTTCGTACTAATCTCGTGTTAAGAAGTTAGAGTTGTCTATTGAACCCTACTTTCACGCTTAGGTCTTGATTTTTAATTTCGTCATCTGGATAGTCCAGATTGTAAAACATGTTATTGAAGGTTTGTTTTTTTTATTATTTGTATTTGTTTTACTTCCCCTGATTAACAGTTTATTATTAATTGTTTCTGCGGGAATATTATATTTAAAATGTGACAAAAAAGAAGTAAACTAATTTTAAGCACCAAACTTAACAAAGAGCTGAGCTCTCTTCGAGATCGATAACGTTTGTTTATCTTTAGTGCCGCTCTTTCATCCTAAGATGCAGACCATTTTCAGATTTCAGAGTCAGCACAGCGGACAGAATCGGATCGTATTTGTGGCGATGGGCGTCTCGCTTCTTCCTCTCAGCAGGAGGGAGTCCCAGGGTAGTATTTATGTAGCCATCCTTAGAAACAAGCTCATCCAGGGCAGGTAGCACCTCGAAATTGCGAATGATCTTCGACACCACGGTCTTGATCTCCAGCAGAGCGAACTTCTGGCCAATACAGTTTCGTGGACCGGCACTGAAGGGCACATACTCAAAGGGTCCTGGTTTCTCCAGCTCAAAGCGTTCTGGTCGGAATTTGTGGGGATCCTTGAACACTTTGTCGTTGTAGCCCAGTACTACGAGACCCAAGTTGAGTGTGGTGCCCTTGGGCACGAGATCGCCATCTATGGAGAAACTACGTCATTGAGAGTTATTTAATGGAATATAACAATGTTTACCAATCACATAATCCTTGTCCGTAAATCGTCCAATAAAGGGTACACTGGGATAAACACGCTGGGCCTCTTTGATGAACAGATCCAAGTATTTCATTTGAGAAATTTCCTGGTAGGTTGCATCGCGTCCCAATTCAGAATCACCCATTATCTCGCGTTGCTCCTCAAATAGTTTGCGCTGTGGAACAAAGTAGAGCGGTTAAGTGTTTACACATTTCTCGTCTAATGATATTGTGTAACCTGTTCGTCTTGATGTCTGGACAACAAGTAGACTGCGAAGCCCACTCCGGAAGTGGTGGTATCGTGTCCCTCGAACATGAAAGTTGAGACCTCTTCGTACAGCTCCTTGGAAGTCAGGGGGCGACCATCGATTGTGGACGAGAGCAGGGTATCCAAAAATGCCATTTTCTTGCGCGTAAACTCATCACCTTGGCTGGTCGACAGTGCTCCCGATTTGTGGGCCGCAATTCGCTTTTCGATGATGTCGTTGGTAAAGTCCTGAAGGGTGTTGAGAGTCTTTCTGTAGGCAGGGTAATCGGGGGCCAGTCGGTACAGCAGCTCATTGCGCTTCAGGGGATGGAAGGCTCGCATGTTGATTATGTAGCACATGCTGTGAAAGATACAGCAGTTGTAGGACGACATGAGCTTAAAATCCGTCTAAAACTTACTCCTTAAAAGCCTGAACAATGGAGGAGGTGTGGTTTTCCATGGCATTGATGGAGACACCCATGGCAGTGTCGCATATAACGTCCAAGGTAAGATAGTGAGCCTGATCCTGGAAGTCGAAGATATTGTCCCCGGCAGCCACCTTCTTGAGGTGATTGATGAATTTGTTTGAGTTCTCGTTCATCACCTCATGGAAGTCCTGCAGGATGTTGAAGTGGAAGGCTGGGGTGATCATCTTGCGGTGCTTGTGCCATTTGCTGCCAGTACTGGTCAAAAGACCAAGTCCCAACCAAGGATGGGTTAGTTGATAAATGTCGGACTTTGTGATCAGCGTCTGACTGCTGAGTATGAACTAAAAAAAGAGGAAAGTCAAATAGTCATCATGACAATTGAAAAATCCTTCAAACTCACCTCCATATACTTGGAACTAGTGACCAACACATTGGAATATGTGCCTATCCAGAAGACAAAATTGTCTCTGCCAAACTGATGCCACCAGGCGAAAACCTGGTCGAGAATTTCTGTATAGACGTAAGATAAACACATTAGTAGGCGGATCGCGATTCACTATCAGTATGCCACAAGTGTATTCCAAAGGTTTTCATTGTTTGTTTTTGACACGCGATTCCAATGCATGTCAGCTTGGAAAACGTAAGGTGTAAATTACGCAACACAAATCAAAGTCTCTGTGTTATCTGCCAAATTCTAGACCTAGGCTACGATTAGCCTAGATCTTTAAGTGGCAGTAGCCCCATTAACTGATAGTTAGCACCCTAACCTTCCGGTCGTAAAGTCGCTGACCCAAAACAACCTAACTGGAATAGCGTTGCCGCTGAGTCAACTCGGAGCGCACTTACCTCAGTCACAACGCTATTCGAGATGGGTGATTTCGGGAGTATTCAATCCGTTTTTTGCCACGGACATTTAAGGAAAACCCACCTGAGGGATTCTTGCCCATTTGATGGGCGTTTCCCACGAGGGGCAGGCCGCTGGGGCCTTTGAGCTTGTTCAGCACTCTTCTCCGGCGGAACGTGGTCAACTCCAAATAGGCGACCACCAGCAGCGGCAAGGCCAGAAAAACATACAACACAAGCCACATTTTCGAACGCGAGTACCGAAACAACCGCCGAGTTCACAAAACACGCGGAGTATGAGAGTTTCACTGGGCGCGCCAAGGCTTAAATACGAGCGTCGTCTGCCGTCTCCTTAGATTCTCCCTCTCTTTTCCCAGCCGCTTCTCTGATCCAACAAAAGACTCCCGAATATAAGTAAATATTTATGTGGTTTCAGCGTGACTGGTCAATTTGAAAGCAGGTTTTTAAGAGATAAGGTTTTAATCAGTTCAATCAGTAAAAGAGGCATAGTTGCATGCAAAACTATAAAATTTAAATTTACTCATATACCAACTACAAAAATTAGAACCAAACAAAAACAAAGCATTTGCTCGGTTAAAACTACACTACGAAAAAAGTAAACAATATGAGGCGCATAACCAAAACCATATATTTTGTCAACAGAGAGTTTTAATCGTCTCTCTTTTGAAACGATAAGAGAGTGCAAAGAACCCCAAAAACAAAATTCCTAAAAAAATGCCATTCATTATTAGCTTATCGGCAAAAAGCTGTAACATACTTAGGGCAGAATGTAAATATACACTTTACTTGGTTTTTACATTCTAATGCAGATAGGACAAAATGATCATAAACCATAATTATTATATTTTGTTAATTTATTTTTATACCCTTGCAGAGGGTATTATAATTTCAGTCAAAAGTTTGCAACGCAGTGAAGGAGACATTGCCGACCCTATAAAGTACATATATTCTTGATCAGCATCACCAGGAGAGTCGATCTAGCCATGTCCGTCTGTACGTCCGTCTGCCCGTCCGTCTGTCCGTCTGTCCGTCCGGCTGTCCGTCCGTCCGTTTCTACGCAAACTAGTCCCTTAGTTTTAAAGCTATCTGCTTAAAACTTTCCCAAAAGTTGTCTTTCTTTTGCAGGTAGTATATAAGTCGGAACGAGCAAGATCGGGCGACTATATCATATAGCTGCCATATAACTGAACGATCGGAAATGCCATAACTCTGCTGTTTGCTAAGTTAGGAAGTTGGGACCATCTATGGGTTTTATATTTGGCCAATCAATCCGACGTACCAAATTTCATAAGGATCGGCCGACTATATCCTATAGCTGCTATATAACTGATTGATCGGAAATGCCATAACTTTGGTGTTTGTAAAGTTAGGAAGTTAGGATTTTCTATGGGTTTTATATTTGGCCAATTAATCCGACCTACCAAATTTCATAAGGATCGGCCGACTATATCTTATAGCTGCCATATAACTGATTGATCGGAAATGCCATAACTTTGGTGTTTGTTAAGTTAGGAAGTTGGAATTTTTTATGAGTATTAAGAAGGCATCATATGAATAATTTTGGAGAATATAATTTGCAGAATATTCTGCAAGGGTATTTCAACTTCGGCTCCGCCCGAAGTTAGCTTTCCTTTCTTGTTTTTTTGTAAAATTGTAAAACTGAGAGACTAGTTTGCGTAGAAACAGACAGACGGACAGACGGACATGGCTATATCAACTCAGGAGGTGATCCTGATCAAGAATATATATACTTTATAGGGTCGGAGATGTCTCCTTCACTGCGTTGCACACTTTTGACCAAAATTATAATACCCTCTGCAAGGGTATAAAAATATTTGTTTACTATTTGCTCTACGCCGCCAAATATTATCACCTTACTCTAGTAGAAGTCTAGAAGTCTACAAAAAAGTAGCATTACTTTGGCATTACTTGTATTGGCAAGGGTAGTAGTCCCTAATTTTTAGGTCGACTAAACTTCTCTGTGTGTGTAGAATTATTCTTTCTTTAAGTAATTGTATAACTATAACATGCCTGAACCTTACAGAGTATTGTGTATTGACTGTAATAAAATACCATTTTATTTCCTCGACCGACTCTTTGCCAATCTCAAAAGCATCAATTTTATCTTATCTTCCGCTCTTAACAAACAGAGCTTGATGTCTTAAGGGCCACTTGTTAGTGTTGATTATAGTGCATCAACGTCCGAAAATGTCTTTGATAGACATTGCTGTGATTTTGGCCATAATTTTTTTGGTTTTAAGATGTTCAAATAATTAAATAGATAGGTCACATAGATCCAAGCCATATCTATTTAAGTTTGACCTTAAGCCTGATAGTAAGATATTGTCTAAGTTAAATAATTATTGAGCGTTTTACATGCGGAGAACGTTTAATGTATTTAAAACCCTCTTCGACTGAATTATGTCTAAGGCTAATTTTTACACACTCTTATCTGTCAAAAGTTCTGACTACTTCTATATATGGTATATTATTAACAGCCGATTAACCATTGTTTATTATCAAGCCATTCTAAATCAGCCTTTAGACCCACACGTCATCACTTCAGTGAGTCAATCCACTCCAAGCAGGTAGCCCAATATAATTAAATTTATCAATTATGGGCGGCAATTGGGCACTATGTTAATTATGGTATTGATAAAGTTGTTTGTATCGATGGCAAATTCACAAAAAAAAACATGAAAGAACTAATGTTAGATAAGCTATCGAAGGGGTTATCGGCTATTAAATAGGTGACCAATAATCTGCACAAGTTACGGGCCAAACCAGTCTGAATAGAATAGCGAACGAGAACAGTTGACCAGAATCATGTTTCTGATAGCGATAGCCATCATTTTGGGCACCATTTTGGTGTTCAAGGGTGTGAGGATATTCAACTACATAGACCACATGGCTGGCATTATGGAGATGATACCAGGACCCACGCCATATCCCTTCGTGGGCAATCTCTTTCAGTTCGGCCTCAAGCCAGACGGTAAGTAGCAATCGAAGAGCCTGAGTATATTTATGAACTCTTTAACTTTAATCCGTATGTCGTTTCTGATAGAATCCGTCAGAACCTTAGGTATTTGCGCGTTTCAATGCGTTCAATTCCCGCTGGTATTGAGTTGCACATTTGGATTTCATCTCGAATTGTTCCTGATTTCCTCAACTTATTTATTGTAATATTTGCTACAGCTTTCATCAAGTTCTGTGCGCATTTCCCAAGTGCCTTCCCTCGCACAGCTGAATAAATTCGGTCTTGTTTTTCCGCCCTTCCCTGCACGTGCCTGAAGTAATCATTTCAAATGCACAATGCCCTGGGGAAAAAGCGCTGGTGCACTATACTTTTCGATGATATCATTCTGCCTCCCTGCTCGGCTGGTGCTTTTCAATTCATGGCGGACTGGCAAGAGCTGCACATTGTTATCTGGCTGTTATTGCTTTATTATTTTTATGCCAGCTTAGATGGCCCGTCCGAGGATAAAAAAAAGTATCTTAATAAATGCCAAATTGTTTTTCTGCTATTAATTAACCTTAATTGTCTTCTCCATCCTCTTAAGAGCCTGCATAAATCCTAATAAGTTTTCTTCTTTAACTGCATCAGGCCCAATTGATTTTCGAGTACTTTTAGTAACCGAGCAAACAACAGGACTTATGGATATGTGCAACAGGCAGTATGGCTTTATGGAGGATTGCAACTACTAACTGCAAGCTTTAGTGCTCTGCAAACGAGAAAATTGAGGCTGTTAATTAAAGTGGTCGTTGCCCAAAAACTCTTCTTGTCTTTCGCAGAATACCCCAAAAAGGTCTTGCAATATTGTCGGAAATATGATTTCCAGGGATTCCGTTCTCTGGTCTTCCTGCAGTACCACATGATGTTGAGCGACCCGGCGGAAATTCAGGTGAGTCCGCCCCCAAATCCCCCACACAGCACCCTACTCATTGTGTTTGCCCTGCAGAACATTTTGTCAAGTTCTTCGCTGCTGTACAAAGAGCACCTGTACTCCTTCCTGAGACCCTGGCTGGGGGATGGCCTGCTCACCAGTTCCGGTGCCCGCTGGCTGAAGCACCAGAAGCTCTACGTCCCCGCCTTCGAGCGGCCGGCCATCGAGGGCTACCTGCGGGTGGTCCATCGGACGGGGGGCAGTTCGTCCAGAAGCTGGACGGACTGTCGGTCACTCAGGAAGTCTTCGATGCCCAGGAGCTGGTGGCCAAGTGCACCCTGGATATTGTGTGCGGTAAGTGCAGATGGACTTGTTAATCGAACCCGGAGCTACCCAGATAAATACTTACACTCCAGCAGCACAGTTTTGTGCAAGCAAATTCGGCATGCACGGCGAGAAAATATAATCATTTTAATGATTTCTTATCTTTGAGATAAATAAATATAATAACTTTTTGTCAGATTTAAACATAATGAAAAGTAAATACTCCATCGTTGTATAATTTAACCGTAATATCAACAAATTTTAAAACAGCATTAACTAAATTTCAAAAATTCCGAACAGTCCAAATATAAAATTAATTGTCACGTTGGTGAGCTCAAAAAACCCTCATAATATTCGAAACAATATTTTATTATGCCAGATAGTGTTGGTAGTTTAATGACAGTTATATTTCCTCTCTGTACGATTGCCAAACTTTACACATTTGTCATTTCCTCTTTTTTTTGGGCCGAGTTTGGTACTTCGGGCGTTTCGCTCGTTTATTTTTTGTAATTTATTATGAACGTTTTATAAATAAGATTTATGGCATAGAAAATGGGTACAAGTGCCGCAGATTGTGCGGGCGGAAAAGTTTCGCGGTCGAGGTACTTGCCCTCGACGATACAACACAGTCTGCTGGATATTGTGAGGCAAATGATTTGAAGAATTTCCCTGTTAACCGTTGGTAATTTATTGAGATTGTTCGGGATTCGTTCGGGTTCATTTAGCCTGCTTGAAGCAGCGAATTTTCACCAGCTCTTAATCCCCCCTTCCCCTCATCCGCAGAAAACGCGACTGGCCAAGGCAGTAGCTCGCTGAATGGAGAGCCCTCGGATTTGCATGGCGCCATCAAGGAGTAAGTTCAAGCCAGAAATCTAGGGATTAAGCTCTGTAAGCCCCTCCCCCCTCCTCTCCGTCTCCTAGCTTATGCGATGTGGTGCAGGAGCGCACCTTCAGCATCGTGAAGCGGTTCGACGCCCTCTTCCGACTCACCTCCTACTACATGAAGCAGCGCCGGGCCCTCTCGCTCCTCCGAAGCGAACTGAATCGGGTGAGTTCTGGTGCAGGGAGGTGCGAAATTCGCTCAAGAATCAACAGTTTATCTCCTCGTAGATTATTGCGCAACGCCGGCACAAGTTGGCCCTGGAAAACACAAGTCTGCAGGGGCAGCCAATAAACAAACCCTTCCTCGACGTTCTGCTGGCCGCCAAGCTAGATGGCCGAGCCCTTAGCGAACGCGAGATTATCGAGGAAATTTCCACCTTTATATTCACCGTAAGTCAAATAATCAATAAACTCATTGAAAAGGGAATCAAGAGTTCAAAATTTTCTTGGAATCATTATTTAATACTTGTACTTTGGAATGGTTGCAGTTTTGATATATTTTGCTCCAATGGGTATATATATTTACAGCGCCATTTACTGTTTAAAAATAAAGCATTATATAATCAATGTCATGTTAGGTTTTGATTTTAGATAATATATGGTGTATGTTTATCTAACTGAAAACTCTTAATCAGTGTCAATTTTATAGTTCAAAGTTAAGTTAGCTTATTTTCTTTTTCAGGTTTGGTAGTATGAATTCCTTAAAGATTCGTATGATAACCGTATAATCTTGATCCTTAACCTGACATTAGAAATTGACTCTTAGTGTTCTAATTGTATTAAAATTTTCCTATTCAGGGCCACGATCCCATTGCCGCCGCCGTATCCTTCACCCTGTACACTCTATCCCGCCACTCGGAGATTCAACAAAAGGCCTTTGAGGAGCAGCAGCGCATCTTCGGCAGCAATTTATCAGGAGAGGCAGACTTGGTTTCCCTGGATCAGATGTTCTACCTCGAGCTGATCATTCGAGAAACCCTGCGACTGTATCCTTCTGTGCCGCTGATTGCCAGGACCAATCGCAAGCCAATCGATATCAGTAAGTAGGGTCTGGAAAGACGGAATATGTTGATATAAAACCAAATCCTTTTAGATGGCACCAAGGTGGCCAAGCGCACCACGGTGATCATGTGCCTCATTGCCATGGGCTACAACGAAAAGTATTTCGACGATCCGTGCACTTTCCGCCCGGAGAGATTCGAGAAAGCCAGCGGCAATGTGGGAATCGAGGCTTTCAAAAGTGTTCCATTTAGTGCAGGTCCAAGGCGTTGCATTGGTAGGTGTTGATTTAACTACATAGTTGATTTCCCTATTTATTTACTCACTTTAACCTGTTTGCAGCTGAAAAATATGCCATGTACCAAATGAAGGCTCTGCTCTCCCAATTGGTGCGACGATTTGAAATCTTGCCGGCCGTAGATGGACTTCCCCCGGGAATCAACGACCATTCCCGCGAGGATTGTGTGCCACAGAGCGAATACGATCCAGTACTAAATATTCGAGTCACACTCAAGTCTGAAAACGGCATTCAGATCAGGTTGCGAAAGCGATGATCTGGAAGATGCAACTTTTATAAGGCAGCACCAAACATTTAAATTATAAAATTAAACTGCGCTATAGGCCAGTCAAAAATAATAAAATGGTTTACACTAAGAGTTTAACAATTAAATTTTTAAATTTATGTTTCTTTTTCGTTTTGTGCACTTAAGCCCTATTTTTCATTCTAGACGATTCCCGTTTCTGGGTTTGGTCCAAACCTGTTTGGCATAGTTCTCGCTATTATTTCCCTGCAAATTATCAAAGTTGACTTGGCAAACCGTTCATGTTAATTCGCATGCATATTCGCTGCTAATTAATATTCATTTCGAACCTCAGCTTAGATTTTATTTTATTGCACAACAAAATGGATTTCACACTACCAATAAAAATAATGTGTGCAGAGGCCGAGAATCAGAAGTTGAACATGTGTTTCCGAGCATGACTGGTGGAGCGAAAGTGATATCATTTTATTTGACTGATGAAGCGAAAGTGATATAATTTCGTTCTACCAAGACAAACTAATATTTAAGTCTTAAATAGAACTTTTGACGAGTATTATCAAATCTCAGAGGTTTGTCGTCCACTTCTGTGTCAGTACGTTGTCCAGAAAAGTCATTTGAGTCACTTTCAACATGCACGTTGAGCGATTGGCGTCATCATATATTTATTTTAATAAACAAAACAATAGAAAATAACCATACATAATAAACGGGCCAGAATAAAAACCTTTGGGTTAAGAGAAATTAATAATTATAAAATATATTAATATATAACAAAATAGTTGTTTACTTTCATTATAATAACTTTTATTTTTAAAAGAAATAGATTTGCTACAAAAGCTAATTCACGGTTTTGAAGAGCAGATATTGACTTGAATAATAATTAATCCTAATTAGCACACCACCTGCTAAATAAGATTAATTTTAACCAGATCATCACCTGTTTCGATTTTATTTTATTGCATAATATTTTGTAAACTCACACATAAACAGTAATTGAGGAAACCTGCTAAGTGCAAATTTTTGAACACCTATGTTTGGAAAACTAAATGTCAATGTTAAGGTTGAGAAACAAAAAAATGTATGCGTCATTCTAATGAAACAGAGGAGTAATTGAACACGAAAATCGGTTGCGATGCTACTCCCTTAGTAAATCGCTAATTAGACCGGTTATTGTTCGCTAAGATCAATCAAACAGCATTCAGACAGATCGTGACATTTGGGAACCGATTTTATTGTCTCGATCCAAATAAATCAGCGGACCCAAAACAACTCGTATTCCCGCTAGAGATCTAATTAAAATACTTTTTTGCCAAAGAATATCGAATTTATTTCACGACTCGATAGTCAAACTTATTAAGTCAGCATGCTGTTTAAATTCTAAGGGTTAGAGGGCAGGGCTCCTCCGGTTCGTAGTTGGGTCCTAGTCGTGTCGATCGCTTATTCCTTGCTGGGATGGGCCTGGATGTAGGCGATGGCCTTGAGGATGGCCTCTGGGATTGGTGGGGGAGTGGGCAGGAGGTCGCTCTGGGGCTGGTATCCGTTCTCGTCGGCCTTGTAGCTGACGCGGACGTGCTCGCCCTCGGGGGAAATCCACTCGAAGACGCCATCGATGTTTCCGTGGACATCGCCGGTGGCAGAGGAGGCCACTCCATTGTCGAGGACCACCTTGGTGTTGAAGCCATCGGGGTTCACATCGTTGACCAGCTCCTTGACCTCGGCATTCTCGTTGGCGGCCACCAGGGCGGCAAGGGCGCAGACAAGCAGCTAGGATATTCCGGGATTACTCATTGAAGTCCGAAAATGATCGCCAGATACTTACGAGTTTGAACATGGTGAGTTAGTTTGATTGTCAGACTAGAGACCTGGTGAGACTGATGCCGATTCGGGATCGATTTTCGCCTTTTATACGCACAAAGCGGCCCACGAATCACGAAGCTGATGCAACCCGTTTTTAATTAACATTTCGGCCAGCATAAGCGTCGTTGGGTTATTCGGACAGGTTGGAAGTGACATGGCTGGCGCCGATAAAAATCGTCTGCTGCATTCTTTTTGCTTTCACTGGTCTATGCAAATTGCTACCGTAATTATTCTAAAAGATTCCCTGAATAATTTGACTTGAAAAGGTTAAGCCCACCTCTACTGCGAAATCGTTTGTTGTCTATTCTTTTAATTCATTATCCAGAACATTTCCATTGAAGTCCAGACAGAGGGTCATTAAATCTCCTATAAGAAAACATGTAAGCCAGTAATAATTTATGATCTACTAGGTGGATAACTTTCTTCGGAAACCTTTGCAAGCATACTTTTTGGAGCTCAAAGAATTAATTATTTAAGATATCGATCTTTGTTGTTGTTAATAAATTTGTATATCTAACAAAAAAATGCTTTCTTGACTTTAGTAAACTGGCTTATTTATTTCGAGGTACACATCTGAATTAGTTAAAGATATTTACTCGAAATAAATGTTGTTACACTCAGGGAAAAAAAGAATGTGATTGAGCTTAGTCAAAGCGGGTTTGGAAGGCAGTCGAGCTCGAAATATGCTAATTTTGTTCTGAATTTCCTATTTCAAGAATTTTTTACTCATAAGAATTATCCTTGATTTAAAAACGTTTTTCTATAAAATTAAGTATTATTTCTACTCAAACCAAGTTTAAGTTGTACTTAAACCAAGCTGAAATATTAATATTTGTTTATACAGTTGTTAAATAAATTATATAATATTTTAATATCGAGTGTATGTGTATATGCTTAAAAACAATGAAGCTATATCGATTTTCTAGCGATTTAAATAAAATTAAATGTTTAAAATTACTATATTTCGGATTGAAGCCGAATGTGTTCTTTTTATTATTTTCGATTATTCCTATTGGAGTAATATGATAGTAATACATATTTACTACATGCAAATGAAAGCAGACTTTTTTGAAAAATGGATACAAATATAAAAATAGAGAAATTAGGTTGCGGAGAAACGTCAGCCTGACAGACGGACATGGTTAGATCAACTCGCCTGGTGATGCTGATCAAGAATATATATACTTTATAGGGACGGAGACGTCTCCTTCAACGAGTTGCAAACTTTTGACTAGGCAAGGATACAAAAACCCAAATATCTTAGAGAAATCGCTGTTTAATGATTTATAATCAAAGCAAATCAAATATTTCTTAAAAGGTATACTTACCCTTATTTATATTCTCTCTCTTAAGAATGGTCGATGGTCTTGTGTTTCAGAGCTTAAACGGAATGTATTATATTAATGTTTTTGAACACAATCGCTCTTAACTATATATATATAGATAGTTTTGTGAATAAAAGTTTTTTTTGGTACTTGCCAATTTTCTTGAAAACAACCGCCACGTCTTAACCAATCGGTCACACTCAAAACAGGCACAAGTATTTCGATACAAAATTATACGATTCTTTCTTGTTTTGCGTATTTATTTATTCAATCTTACCTAATTTTTACCTTGAGCTTAAACTGTACTTCTATTAAGAATTTTATTAGTAAGTTTAGAGTCAAAAAGAGAGTTTTATGATCGCTGCTAGAAAGATTCGTAAAAAAACAATTTGTAGCTTGATTTAAGTCGGTTACTTATTTTTTTTACATTAGTTTTCAAAAACTTCAATTGTATGCAGTAAAATTTTTACTTAAAAGCATTCTGCATAAACACATTAAAACATTTAACCAAATAAAAGTTTTACTAATTTTAAAATTTGGTTTTAAGGTAAAAGGAAGTGTTTCCTACCCTATAAGGAATTTATATTTATTGGTGACGTCACTGCAGACGGTAGTCAAATATGCCTTCGTATATCTTTTCCAAAATAGAAAACGCTTTTGACTTTTTGCTTTAGCGCGCCAACAAAGTTACCGATGCTATCTGCCTAAGTCAAATTTATTTTAAAATTGGTTAACAGAGTAGAGGGTACCTGATAGTTTGGGTACTGGCAATTAGCGTTCCTTTTACTTATTTTTGAAAATTTTGGAAAATTGTTAAATCATACTTTATTTGGAAACGACAAAAAACTTCCCTTTTAAAAAAAATTATTTTTGGTTCATTTTTAATAATTGTGTCAATATAAATTGATACAAGTCGAAGGCCACCGCAGCCAGTGCGCGGGAATTTTGCAATTAAGTTAGTCATTGTTAGTCAAACTCTCAACTTAGCTTAAATTGTTAAATAAAAAAAAACTGATACAAAAACTTTAAAAACGTTACTTAAACTTAAAAAATATATTTCGTGAATTATTTTTTGAACAATTGTCTTGCTTAACGTAGTCCTTTCTGTGACTGCCTAATTGCTAATAACTTATTTAAAACACATTTCCTTGATTGAGACTGCAAATTATAATTTATTTGGAATTCCATAACAACATTTTCATAGTTCTAAAACAGCAGGTGAGAGTAATGCAATTCAATCTGCCTGTTTCCGATCCTTGAGTCGCTTAGTTCTTGCCGGGGTTAGCCTGGATGTAGGCGATGGCCTTGAGGATGGCCTCTGGGATTGGTGGGGGAGTGGGCAGCAGGTCGCTCTGGGGCTGGTATCCGTTCTCGTCGGCCTTGTATGCCACACGCACATGGACACCCTCGGGGGAAAGCCACTCGAAGACGCCGTCGATGTTTCCGTGGACATCGCCGGTGGCCGACGAGGCAACTCCGTTGTCGAGGACCAACTTGGAGTTGAAGCCATCGGGGTTCACATCGTTGACCAGCTCCTTGACCTCGGCATTCTCGTTGGCGACCACCAGGGCGGCAAGGGCGCAGACAAGCAGCTAGGATAATCCAGGATTAGGCGGCGAACTATCCGAAACTCCTCACGGAATACTTACGATCTTGAACATTTTAATTTGGTTTTGGTTGTCGGACTAGAAAACTTCTGAGACTGATGACAATCTATGCTCGAGTTTGGATTTATATATCTTAAAAAGCTGATGCAATTTGGGTTTAAAATTAATTCAAGACGTTGCTGATAATAAAAAGCGTCTGGCATGCAAATTAGTCCACTTTGAAAGTATTCCTAAACTGGCTATTGGATAGGAAAATGGCTTTCAGTAGCACTTGAACATTTTTCGGTATTTATATAACCAAAAGCCTGAGCTTCGCGGATATGCAAAGCAAACTGTTCCAGACTCTGTATAATTAATAAGATGTATATTTTATTGTGTACACAAATGAGTCCACAAAAAAATCTTAATTGTGTTAACCAGCGAATAACAATGTCCGTAGCATAGTTTTCGGAGCCCAAAAATGAAGCACTCACTCCCTGTGGGATATGTTGACAACTCTGGAAAAAAGCTTTATGCGGTTATTAACATAAAGATGGAAGTTTTTAATAAAACAGTGCCTTCCAAAAGATTTGAAATTTGCTTTAATTTATACAATTGTATAAGCATTAACTTAAGTTTTCAAATAAAAAAAATATAAATTTTTTTATACTTTAAATGAAAATCCAACGATGGAAATCTTTTTATCTTACTCATGCTGCAAAAAACAAAATATTAAAATGGTTAAACAAGTCAAAATGTTAGACAATCGTAAAAAATAATTGATTGGTTAATTATTAAATATTGAATAGACATTTTTCGGTGTTTTCTCAGTAAGGCTCAATTCAGCTAATAAAATATTTCCCATTGACTGGGCTTAATTGTTTAACAAACTCTCAACTTTAACTAATCATTCTGAATTGGTAGCCCGATGAAGTCTTGCCCAAGTCGAACATCTTCGATGGACGCGGAACAAAAAAACCCGTATGCACCGCTCCTCAAAAAGTTCTATTGAAGCATGTTTCATTTCGGCACCTATCCAACAGTGCCGGACTTGTTTTTTGACATTTGTATCGCAGTGTCAAGTGGAGAATTTATGGGCCGTGCCTTTCGTTGGCATTATGGGCGTTTTGTGCACCCGATAACTTAGACATGGCCAAATATAGGTAATTCATTTTGGAAAGCAACTGGATTAGGAATCATATATAAAGGCCATACCAGAGCAGAGTCAGTTATCAGTCAACGTTCGCTCTCGATCAGACAGAAATCAGCCAAAATGTTCAAGTTTGTGAGTGGTCCACAGGAAAATAATGAACTCGTAATTTAACCGGATATATCCTCCCTATCTAGGTGATGATCCTCGCCGTTGTGGGAGTGGCCACCGCCCTGGCCCCAGTGTCCCGCTCAGATGATGTCCACGCCGATGTGGTTTCCCGGTCGGAGGACGTCCGCGCCGACGGATTCGATGCCAGTCTGCACACCTCCAACGGAATCGAGCAGTCCGCCAGCGGAGATGTCCATGGCAACATCCACGGCAACTTCGCATGGATCTCCCCCGAGGGCGAGCACGTGGATATCAAGTACGTGGCCGATGAGAACGGCTACCAGCCCTCGGGCGCCTGGATCCCCACCCCTCCCCCCAATCCCAGAGGCCATCGCCCGCGCCCTCGCCTGGCTGGAGTCCCACCCCCAGGCCCCCGAGCATCCCCGTCATCACTAAGACCCGAATCCCTGAACCCGGACCGCTCCACGGACTGTTCTGACGACACGAATCGCCCTAGTTGTTTAGCTGTACTTCTTGACTTTCAAAAAAATATATGCACTTGCTTATAACAGTATAACCAATTTCCTTTTATTTATTTTTTTAAAGGAAGATTTTATGTTAAAAATGATTTTAATAGACATACTTCAAAAATATATTAGTCTTTACATGACATCTTTAATTTTTATTATATAAGTTTTTAAGAGCCAAAAATTGTTTAGTTTTTTGGTAATTTCGCGAAAGTTGTATAAAGAGTTATTGCTAAGAATTATACAAATTTAAGTGTAACTGCTATTAAATGTATAACACAAACAAACAAAATCTTGCAGAAGGTCAAAAGTTTGTAACGCAGTGAAGGAGAAAACTTTCTTTTTATTTCAGATAGAATATAACGGAACGAACCTGATCTGACGACTATATCATATAGCTGTCATACGGTTTTAATTGCATAAGAACCGGGGGACTATAACATACATATGGCTGTTTTAGTATAGATACGAATATTTATAGGAATATATAAGCATATAACTCGAACTATAGATATTTCGTACGATTTAATAAATGAATAGCTAATTTAATAAAAATGGAACAACACTATATACAGCTGCCATGGAATGGATCGAAACTTGTATGGGAAAGTCGATAAATGGATTTTGTTTTGGTTTTAAAACGGCATATTTTTTACTTGATCCCAAAATATTAGTAGTAGTCTGTAGCTGAGACCCCCTTTGATTTTGCTCTGTCATTTGATCAGTATCTTGTCAAACGAACAGTGTTATTGACTGTTAAAAAGAAAGAAATAAAAATGTTTTTCGAAAGTTTAAAAAATGGTGTTTAAGTTTGAAGTTAAGTTTGACTTATAAAACTCTTTAAAAATCAACTTAAAACGCTCAGATTTACAGTAAAAATTTTACTTTTGTTACATTTATCACATTGTATTAATCCTTACATTTGTTTATTCCTGGAGATATATTATAATTTTGGTCAGTAATTTGTAATGCAGCGTAGGAGACATTTATTAAGTTTTTATATTCTTGATCGGACATCTGTATCCAATAGCTGTAATGGGAATGATCGGATCAAATTCGTTTGATTTTCTGATTTTGAAGACATTATTGTATTTCTCTCTGTTTTTGTCTAATATACATTTTTTTTGTAATTTTGGATCAACACATTCCTTAACTGATACATTTGGTTATGTGCTTCACAAAGTGTAAAAGCAATCATTTAAAAAAAAAATTCCAATCGGAAGACTATATCCTACACCTGCTTTAGGAATTTTTCGTCCCTTGAGTTGGCTATAGCCTATATCTATTTATGCAGAGCAAGATGTCTTCAACATTCGGCATAACTGCATGGATGTGAAAACTTTGGCTTGCCGAAGTAAGCTTCCGTACAAGTTTTTTATTAATTTGTCAAAATTACAAACAATACCAAGAACTCATCTCCCCCTAAAACAAATATTATAGTGAAAGAATCCCCATCTAATTGATTAAAAAATTTTTGTGGCAAAACAGAATTTTATACAAAATTTAAAAATTCTTTTTGGATATTGTATAGGAATAAATATCACATGTTTGTAACCTTTTTCCATTCCAATTTTAGGTTGTTATTAATTTTTCATAAAATTTTTACCCTCTACTGTAAAACTTTTTTCCTGTTAAATAACTCTATTTATTAAAGGATATTTCTCTTATATGTTTTTTGTAGTCATGTACTATAACTGAAAGATATATATAACTTTTTCTTCGAAAAATCGTTTTAATAGAAAATAGTACAAAGAAAATGGCCGATAACAAAAGAGTTCGCGAAGGTAAAAAAAAGTCGAATAAAAATGTTGAAAAATGGTAGTCGATTGTCATATACAAAATCTAACTTGAGATTGTCTTGCAACTCTTTGCAAAAAAGTTTGGTCACCAAACAGCAACACATAAAAGAAATGGTTAATAAAATGTTTTTGCTGCACAGAATTTAAGAAAGTTTAATGGCTGTCCCAACTAACAGACCTTTAAGAAACCAAGTGCGACATCACAATTTTTTTATTGGAGAGGACCTAAAAATATTTTAAATATGCTTTGCTCTATGTTCGATTTAAAGATTCACCAGACAAAATGTAATATGTAAATGCTATACCATTTTTTTATCTAAAAGTGAAAATCGATAAGTAAACGATTGTTTTGAACTAATAATTTTAAAATGGTATTAAAGTTGTATAAAATGGTATAAAAGATACAAAGCATTTTGACAATTACCCTATCTTGCCAATCTCTTTTTTTCTTTCTCTTAGGTGTGGTTTCCAAACAAAGAGAAGATGATAGAAGATTTAACATATTAACTCGTTTAAAAACACCACAATTTGGTTTAAAACAAACTGAAAAGTAATTGACGAGAGGTCTTAGGAGAGAGAAGCAATAACCAAGTTTGAACAATAGATATACAAGGTAGTGTTTGACAAAACACCATGTCCAAGAAGTCGGTGGCGTCTTTTGAAGTCGCCAGAGCTTCGATATTTCAAAAATGAATCTTGATGGGACTGCAAAAGTGGTTCACGGTTTGACAATGCGAATTCAAGCACATAGAGGGGAGATTCTGGGGGGGGACCGATTTCGAACTCGTTTTGTTTTTGGGACCCGTTATTGATGCGAGTGTTTCATTTTAGCATCTATTAAGCGATTATATATAGTACTTATCCCGTTGTGTGGCATTTGCTAAGCTGTCGCCATGTGACGATGCTTTTTAATGGGAGTGGGCGCATCCGCGAAGTCACCCCATAACTCAGAGCACCAATTGAATGCAAGATGTAGCGATTTGTTATGGGTTGAGTTTGGCTGGGCAATCATATAAAAAGGCTTTGCGCGATCAAATAGAGTTATCAGTCAACGTTCGTTCTCGACCAGACAGAAACAGCCAAAATGTTCAAGTTTGTGAGTGGCTACCAGGACAATTTACCCCCTTGAACATCTAACTCAGATCCTTTCATTCCGTTCAGGTGATGATCTGCGCAGTTTTGGGGCTGGCGGTGGCCAATCCCCCAGCGCCCCATTCCGTGGGACGTTCCGAGGATGTCCACGCCGAAGTTGTCTCGCGCTCCGACGATGTCCGCGCCGATGGATTTGATTCCAGTCTGCACACCTCCAACGGAATCGAGCAGTCCGCCAGCGGAGATATCCATGGCAACATCCACGGCAACTTCGCATGGATCTCCCCCGAGGGCGAGCACGTGGACATCAAGTACGTGGCCGATGAGAACGGCTACCAGCCCTCGGGCGCCTGGATCCCCACCCCTCCCCCAATCCCAGAGGCCATCGCCCGCGCCGTCGCCTGGCTGGAGTCCCACCCCCCAGCACCCGAGCACCACCACTAGAACACCTCCCTGAAAGCGGATCGCACTACGGACTGTCCCCTGGATACCTTTCGACCTAATAGTTTAAGTACACTAAAAGATTTTTGAAATACATGCAATTGTTAACGACAGAAACCAGATCGCGGCCTTGACTTTGACTTTGCCTCTCAACTGTAACGGTTTCGGACTCGTTCAACCTGTTCGACACCTACTTTATTTACTTAGCTCTTTAGCACTTCAAAAACAATATGCTAATGCACTCAAAATTAATATAAGAACAAACAATCGGAGCACTCGGTCATTTCTAAAAGAAATGTACTTAAATAAACATAAAAATGTTCCATTAATTCGTTGGATTTTTGTTATACTTAAAACATTAAAAGTACATTAATAAAACAAAGAGAAACGCTATAGTCCAGTGCCACGACTTTAAAATACCCGTAACGCAGCTAACCAATTTCAAGATAAACAAGAAAGGAAAGCTAACTGTAAATTATATTCTCCAAAATTATTCATATAATGCATTCTTAATACTCATAAAAAATATTAATTTCCTAACTTTAAAACTTATACTGCGTTCAAAGGAAAGAAGGGTGTGTGCAAAGTTTCAAGTCGATATCTTTAAAACTGAGAGACTAGTTCGCGTAGAAACAGACAGATGGACAGACAGACGGACAAACTCAGGACGCGATCCTGATCAAGAATATATATACTTTATAGGGTCGGAGATATCTCCTTCACTGCATTGCACACTTTTGACCAAAATTATAATACCCTCTGCAAGGGTATAACAAGAAAGAAAGCTAACTTCGGGCGGAGCCGAAGTTGATATACCCTTGCAGAATATTCTGTAAATTATATTCTCCAAAATCGGATCGGTTATTCATATGATGCATTCTTAATACTCATAAAAAATCCCAACTTCCTAACTTTAACAAGAGAGAACGCTATAGTCGGGTGCCCCGACTATCAGATACCCGTTACTCAGGTAAAGGGAGTGCGAGGGAGATGGAGATAGAAACTTTGATCACGCATAAATTTTTAACGAATGGTCCAATTTGAAAAATTTCTTCTACATTTCGATAGGTATTCATAAACACAATAAAACTGCATTTTTACTTTTCCGAAATATTTAAATTTTTAAAATCGTATATAAGCGATTGTGGGAGTTAAAGGGCACCTTTTTGAAACAAACTTGCGCTGCGTAGGAACTCCTAGAATCTGCATGCAAAATGCCAATCTTCTAGCTTTTATAGTTTCCGAGATCTCAGCGTTCATACGGACGGACAGACAGACGGACAGACGGACATGGCTATATCGACTCGGCTAGTGACCCTGATTAAGAATATATATACTTTATAGGGTCGGAAACGCTTCCTTCTACCTGTTACATACTTTTGCACGAATACAATATACCCTTTTACTCTACGAGTAACGGGTATAAAAACACCAAAGTTATGGCATTTCCAATCGTTCAGTTATATGGCGGCTATAGGATATAGTCAGCCGATCCTTATGAAGTTTGGTAGGTCGGATTGATTGGCCAAAAATAAAACCTTAGAAAATCCCAACTTCCTAACTTAACAAACACCAAAGTTATGGCATTTCCGATCAATCAGTTATATGGCGGCTATAGGATATAGTCAGCCGATCCTTATGAAATTTGGTAGGTCAGACTGATCGGCCAAAAAAAAAACCCATAGAAAATCCCTACTTCCTAACTTTAAAAACATCAAAGTTATGGCATTTCCGATCGTTTAGTTATATGGCAGCTATATGATATAGTGGCCCGATCTGGCTTGTTCCGACTTATATACTACCTGCAATAGAAAGACAACTTTTGGGAAAGTTTCAAGCAGATAGCTTTAAAACTGAGGGACTAGTTTGCGTAGAAACGGACGGACGGACGGACGGACGGACGGACAGACGGACGGACGGACGGACAGACGGACGGACGGACGGACAGACGGACGGACAGACGGACATGGCTAGATCGACTCTCCTGGTGATGCTGATCAAAAATATATATACTTTATAGAGTCGGAAATGTCTCCTTCACTGCGTTGCAAACTTTTGCCTAAAATTATAATACCCTCTGCAAGGGTATAAAAATTATAATACCCTCTGCAAGGGTATAAAAACAATGATGCCATCGTTTCTATGGCAGCTAAAACATCTATAAGATATGAACCACGCTTTGATATATGCAGTGACACTTGATATGTACTACAAATCCGTAAAATTTGAGTATGCCGATAGATATTGACCGAATCGTATTTTTAATGGGGTTTTAACATATGCCGCTCAATAACTGGCCTCTACGAGGTCATTGTTGTCTAGAGTGGGCGTGGCCACATTTTGAAATAAACGTGAGGTGCGTAAGAAAACCTAGACACGCTCCTAAGTCCCAAATCTCTATTGATCCTTGTCAAGAATAAATAGCTTTATAGGGTCGGAAACGCTTCCCACCAATACAATATTCCCTTTTCATCCACGAGAATTGGATGTAAAAATTAAATTCAATTGAAAATTGGGTGCATAACCTAATTAATTCAATTATTAAATAATTAATTAAGAAAATTGTATACCGCCGAAATCAATTCTTGATGGATAAGCCACTTATCTTTTCTAAGCAACTACCAATACTTAAAATACACAATCAAAAATATCTGTCAATAAACTTCCTTGGCCTTTATTTAAAATGCGATTTCTACAATTCAAATTTCCTTTCAACCAGCTGATTTTAAATATTCTATACATCTCAAAAACTTGTTCTCAATATTCAGAATAAATTAAATCTGCCCTAGATTTTATTAGAGCCTGTTAAAAAGGCAACTTTAACATTTTCGACAATTTATCATGGCATAAACCCGATTACGAACACAGATTGAAGGAGAATAAAATTATAATCTGAATGCTAAGAAGCGCGAATATACAAAATGAAAAGGCATAAAGCTGAAATTTGTCGCCAAGCTGTTAAAACGATAATTTTAACTGTTCTTATTTTTCAATAACAAAGTTCTGAGTAACATAACCAGTTAGGATCCGGAATGCGATTTGCATTTAAAAACCCAACCAGCCCCAATAAAGCTAAGCATCTAGAGTGAATCCCAACTGCAATACACTTTAAAGACAACTTCGCTTATTTATGTATTTTTCTCAAAACTTATTTTAAAGCTTTACAATATACATCAAAATGACAAACTGCATTCTGAATAATAGTTGCAAGTAGATTTAGGGCAAACATGTAAACATGAACAAATCCATTTCCATCCAACTAAAGATGTACTGGGAATTCAGTCAGCTTTTATTAGAAACAATGGCATGGGATGTAATTAAGTAATTGCTTACAGACATTCCATCTAGTGGGGGATATATTTCGCACATCTGGCTCAGTTTTATGGTGTTTAGTGCTGTGGAGAAGTCAAATAACAAGGACTGTGTGCAGCATCCAAATTTCTGCATTGTTTGTCTACTCTAGAGGAACCTAATGAACAGAGCTTTGTCCGGTGCGGTTTGTATATCCAGAAAATACATGTTTGCTCAGAATTATTAATGCTGATTTACACAATTTTTATGCGAGTGCCAAGTCCTACTTTGCAAATGTAATATCATTTGTTAATCAAGGATAAGTTTTCAAATTCTGGTGGAAATACTATTAGTTTGCGGAGAATATGTTACTCAATCAGAGCCGTGCGAATTCACCATCTGCGGTCATAATTTAACGCAAACAATTAAAAAACCTATCATCAGAAGTCCTAGAGCCGAATTAAATTGCTGCAGGTAATTAGCCACAAATAACACGACTGAACGGAAATATTTGCATATGTGTTAAGAGACCACAGCACGCAACATTCATATTTATACGTGTGTCGAGTAAACATTTGTCTAAACCAAAATTATTTTGACATTAATTAAATGCTCATTTGAGACTGCCCATATACACATTGGACTCCCATTTAATAGAACCAATCACGCAGAGGGGGTAAATAAATAGTCTAATTAATTTGCGTTTTGATGTATAGGTTTCTATTATTACAGGTTTTGTATTTGTTATTAAATGGTGATCAATTTGATGCTAATTATGGAATCCATTACGAGGACAGCCGGCATTTGTTTTGGCGAATCGAAGTAAAATCTTCTGTGAAAAGAGTTCCTCCGGCAGTCGGGCGGACTTTGCACCTCAAGTGCCGCGTGGCGTTGCGTGCGACCTTGAGCGACGCCTGGCGTCATCTCACTTGCTGAACTTCAGGCCAACTGCAACAGGACAAGAGGAGAAACCCAATGGGTGAGGAAAGACAATTAATGGCAATGCTTTCCACTAATGGGTTCGTAATGAAGCTTTCGCGGAGTGGCTTGAGTTCTCCGAAGCGATTTCTCCTCTATTTCGGCTACAATACCCATACACACCTGCCGCGCTGCGTGGATTCCTCAGCTTGGAGGGCTTCTTGCGCAGCTCCGATTGACCCAATCCGCCGCTTGTTCCCGGTCCATGCGTGTCGATTTGCATGCTCTCATCACTGTCCGAAGTCTGGCTCTTTAGCACCTTCTTCAAATTAATGAGCTGTAAGGGTTAAACCAGAAAAATTAGTTGATTAATGCATTTTTTATAAATAGCAACAGATATTAAAATATATGTAGGATTTATTCTGGCCACTCACATCTTGTTCCACGCGCTCCTTGTTCAATAGTCTCTTGGATTTCTCGGCGTTGGCGTACTTGATCTGCATTTCGATGCAGTTGGAGACGCTGTCGCAGGAGTTGACCCAGGCCTGGAGGGTTTCCACGATCTGGCCAGTGTATCCTGGCGGAATGTCGCGACCCTGGGCGTATTCCACCTCCAGAATGCGTGTGTTCTGGAACAACTTTCCGTGGATGATGTCTGGGCGAGAGATTAAAACGAAAATGAGAAAGTTTTCTTCCTTTTAGCGTTGCCTGCCTGCTAAGTCTCGTTGTCAACTTTTTCTTGACTAATTGCCCAGAACGAACAGTTTCTGAAGTTGGCCGAAGTGTCGCCCCAAGTACCAGCTTTGGAGTGCACTCAAGGCCACTGCAACAAGTTTACGATGGTGCCTACAGATGATTGTACAGTTAGTTGCGCCCAAGCCATCCTCTTCAGCGGAAAACCTGAAACTCTGAGTGAACAAGCACTAATAATTGCTATCCAGTTTAATGCCTAAAGGCAGGTTTAACGAAAAGGCAATACAATGTTAGTACTTGTCAAATAAATTGTGAAAAGTATGAGTATTTATAAAATAAAAGAATAAACATTGTATTTCTTAATAAATTCGATTAGGAAAGTTCTTAAACTAACAAAAAGGTAAGGCAAGGTATTTTAAAATAAATTGCATTTTAACAAGATGAAATTCATATTTTCGGATTATTTGATTTTTTATACAGCTTTTCATATACAACAATATAGACAGCATAAAGGCAAATTGAATTTTTCCTAAATTTTCAAACTAAATTTCATTATACTTTATAGCTTTCACTATCTACATTTTCCAAATTAATGATAATTGCCAACCCCTTTTCTACCAACTAAGTATACGCAATCAATCACCCCCACTTGTATTCCACAGAGCAATCGCTGCAAACGCTCAATCAATTAAACTGATTAGAAAACAGCTAGATAACTGCTGTATAACTGCGAAAACAAAATAAAACCGGTTACAATCAAGTAAATGGAAGCTGTAGTTTCATAAATCCGCAAATCCGCACCACAAAACCCCAAATGTTTAGCAAATATTGCGGTGATAGAGACACGTACAGTTGGTAATCAAAAACCAAGGTTTTAACTTTTGTTTTCGATACTTTGGGGCATCCCTTAAAGCCGAGTGGGAGTGGAAGTGGAAGTGGGAGTGGCTTACAGGCGATTAGCTTTGTTTTCCGACTCAATTACCAAAAATATCGCCCGGCGTTAGCCGGCAAATGCAATTTGATGCGATGGCCGACATCCAAAGTAGTTTGAGTAATTAATTTGAAATGGTCGTTCAGTTTGAAGCCCCTCGGCGGGATTACAATTTATAGCAAGAGGATTTGGAAATCGTTTTTACTGACAGGAATGTAAGTCCCAGTTGCAGTGCAAGGTCCCGAAAACTGAATAGTTCTACCCCGAACCGAACTAGGGCCCGAGGCTTAAACTTTTCTCGGCCGAGGAAGTGGATAAGTGACTGTCGCCTTCGCGCTCCCCGCTCGCCGGCTTTGGTCATGGCTTAGCCCAAGTTAAGTCCTTGAGCGCTCTTTGCCTTTGACTTTACGACCACTTGTGTCCTTGAACGAGTGCACAGCAATGGGACGAGTCCGTGGACCAAGTTTCTGTGTTTATGGCACCGACTTTGTGTCATAAATATTCACTCAAATATGCAGGGAATTCGCCCAGAGATTCAATTTCTCGCATCCACTCGCTCCGTCGCCGTGCGGTTTGGTTTGACAATTTATCAAACACTTTTCTAATTATCTTAAGAGCTGGCGCAAAATTCTTATTGATTTGACGCCTTCGAGTACGCTGCGAATAATTGGAAAACATGGGGAAATTCTGGATTCCGCGGTGGGCCGACGCCCCGGCCACAAGTGCTGTAAAATGCGTGCGGCTTTCAGGCGTTGACATGTGTCTTGTATTTTCACCCATCCGAAAACTGTGGGCGCCTGCTGTCGCGTGCGGGAATTCAACGCCAGGACAATCAATCATGCTTACTGCTCCGCCCGCAAATTGCGCAAAAAGCCGCTGACGGACATCAGAATGAATCTTCGGAGCGGCAGAAGGCGATGATGTCAAACCGCCGACGGCTGTGGTCTGTGGCGACTGCTGATGAAAATCAAATGGGGTTGGCCATCAAGAGATGAATAAAAAGTTGAACAAATGGATGCATGGTACCTTCTGAAATTTGACCATTAAAGTTTTAAATCGAATAAATGAGAGTTTTTTATCTAAGCATTTAAACTATAAGTTTATACAAATACCTTTATGGGAAAAAAAATTATTCGCAAATGGTCGGGGATGACCCTAAAATTTGTTTCAAGCTAATTTCACAAGGTTGTAAGTATTTTTCGTTGGAAAAGAGATACCACCGAGTTCTGTGATTTTTTTTGTTTCTTAGAAGGTTCTAAGGACCGCTAATATCCAGGCTAAAAAGGAATTTTGGAATTTGGTCAAAAGAGCTTTCTAAGGCGTCACCGTATGTTGGATTTTTAATAATCCATGTGTAAAATTTTGTGTGTAATGTGTTCAGTTATATTAAACGCAATCAATTCGGTGACTAACACGTTTCAATAATTTACAATAAATCTTTTAATGAACTTAGCTCTAGAAAAAAAGTTCGTTGCTTAAAGATTTCACTTTAAAAGTATAAATATTATTTTTAACTTTAAAAAAATATTTCTACGAAATGCCTGTGTTCGTATTTACTTAACATGGCTTTAATACGAAGTTCGCTTATGTCTATATGGCCACCGTAAGGACTTTTTATTTGTGGAATTCGAGTTTATATCACATATTTATTAAGCCCAGCAAAGGGACCCTTAAGTCTCGCTCTCTTTTTCTGGGCACCTGTCGCTGACAGCTTTGGCAACTCTTCAGACATTTTCCCGCCTGCCACCTGCCCTAGCAAAATGGAAGTTATTAATTGAAATTCTACACAAAAACCGAACGACAGCAGCCGGCGAGGATAATGGCACAGGATAAAACAGGTAAAGAAAGCACCCAACAAAAAAGTGTTGCCATCTTAGCTATATACTAGTAAAGTTTGTCTATTTTTAAAATTATTAAAGCTATTGATTTAAATTGGCGGTCATTAAATAATAAAAACAAAAAATAATAAAAAATTAAATGCGCACTATTCATTAATTAACCCAATATTTCGGAACTACTAAGAGTAAGGAAATTACCTTCATTTATGATTAAAATAATGAAATCTACACATTTGTTTGGCTTATATGGTTTTCAACTGTGTGGTATTTTAAATGTAACTCGAATATATTTACCAAATACCTGGCTTGTACCATTTGGAACAAAAAACGTTTGCAAATTTCATTAAAACTATTACCAGGCGTTCTTCTGTTAAAAGCATATTATTTATTGTTAAAGATACTTATTCTCAGTAATTCATAACGTTGGAACAGCCTTCTTTCGACACCCCAGCACCACACACTTCACCGTTCACCGCAATCGAGTGGGCTGAAAACTTCTGCCATCAATATGGGGCAGTGGATAGCTGCGGGAAAGTTTTCACCTAAAACAGACAAGTGCTCTACGCAGCCACACAGAGACATCCGCCATCTGAAAGTTTTCCCGGCTGACCCAGTGCAAAGGGCTCCAGGCGCCGAAAACTATGCAATCAAAAACAGCTGTGCAATCGGAGGCCCTACGGAGTCGGATGAGTCCTTATTTACCGCCAGAGCGCAAATTATCTCCGAACAGCGTCGCTTTTGAATATTCGGCTTTGTGGCAAGGTCGTGGCTTTTCATTTAGGTAAACTGGGCTTTGATGTAACAGCTTTTCATCGGATAAAAGCCGATTTTCATGCAGTGCTTCAGCCATTGGCATACTGTTAATTAACCGATTGCGAAAGGGGTTTACACTTTTTGCGGGGCGTTCAGAAAATGTTACGTACAAGTGGCATGCGCTTAACTTTTTCGCGTGCAACCCATAAACAAAATCACCCTACTTCCCTCTGAATTGCAAATCCCTGAGCCTGGCGGAAAGGCAACTTGAAAAGCCGCTTTTAAGGACCCCGAATTATGCGAAACTTTTCTTTGACACAAAAGAAATAAAAGACCGCGCAAAAAATATAATCAAGCAGGCGCGACAAATTGTGCAATTCCCAGCAAACTCAAACTCACAGCTCGGCAACTAAAACTAAAAGGGTGCAGCCCAAAGGGAACTTCGTGGCAGTGGCATTCCTCCCAAATGCGGTGGCGCTGAGTTTATAAACATGCTTTGCTTATTTGCCAGAGATACTCTGAATTCTACTGCTGCAGCATGGGATGTTATTGCAGCAAGACTAGTTTTGAGGCAGTCGGGAAAATATGACGAGATGGCAAGGAAATTAAAAATCACTGAGGCTGTCCTGGAAATGGCATACAATGGGATCGATTTTTTAGGGTAGAATGCCAAAGGTGCAATCTTGAAGTATTATTTGGGGTTCTTTTATTACATTTTTAGTCAACAAGAAATGAATTAAAACTTTAAATCAATGCATGCACGGTAGGAAATCATGCAACTTGATCAACCACGTTTTTGTAAAGGGTTTCTGTATTTAATTTCAGGTAATTTAAGTGAACCTATTTAGAGTTTCCTGGCTTTGGAAATATAATAAATTCTATTTATCTATTGTCTACGAAAATTGAATGGGGTCACTTTATATATAACTATGTAAAAAAAAACGTTAAGGTTACAAAAAAGTATATCCTGATTTCCTGCTTTCCAAGCTCTTAGTTAAGCCGAATCAATCAAGAGCTGGGACTCTAATGGAGCCAGTCGAAATAAATTTCAAGCGAATTTCAATTATAGCAGGCATTTAATTACCATATCCCCATGCCATCGTCCCGCGAGACAAATGATGCTCTAATGGGATGACCTGGAATCGCGGCCGAGGGAACCACTCCACCTGCCCGCCGGCTAATGGCGGCTCCCGTTCCCAACTACATTAAATTGCGATGTCAGATTACGGCGCCTAATAAAACGCAATGATTTCGCATTCCGCCGGGCACCAGGCACCAGGCACCTGGCATCAGGCATCACACTCAGGCATCTGGCTCTGGCCCTCCTGCCACTCCAAATGATGCCCTAATGATGGCTATCATAACATAAATCTTGGCTGGGGCAGGGGAATTTATTTGTCTGTTCATAGCCTGGATTTGGAAAGCAATTAGGAGGGCCAGGTGAGGAGATGTTTCGAGGTTTGCTCGCTGGGCGTCGTGGGGGTGAAGTAATTTATGGGGCAGATGGCGTTGAGTTGTCACTGTATTTGCTCACCTAATGGACGGCGAAGACTCCATTAAAAACTGCTAAATGCTATTTGCTTTTGCCCGCCATAAAGTATTTTCCGGCCCCTATGTTCCGGTCATGTTTGGTTTGTTCTATACATCGAGTGGACACTTGTCGGAAGCCGCTTTAAAACCAACGATAACCCAAAATCCGCCCCAAGGCTTGGTTTCCTGCCCCATAGAATACAGCTTCTGTTTGTTTTCGTTTCGGCCCATAGATCACGAGCAAAGCTCAAAAATCAACAGCACCAAGTTTAGCACCATATTCGAGGGCCGTAAGTATGCTTACACGAGCGTTGTTTCCGAGTGCGATATTTTGGACCCGGCTTCTGGGTGTTGCGTTTGATTTACGGCTTTCGGCAGACATGCAGACCGAGTTCGGAAGTACAAGTGGAAAGTGTGTAAATTATGCAGCCTGTGCGGGGAGAATGATGGATTGAAGGCTTCCACCCGAAAGAGGTAAAACGATGCACTACATCGAAAAACATGATATTCGCATACCTAATACAATCTCAACATTCGTTATCGTTTGAATTCGAAATCTAGTTCTGCAACTTAATTTAATTTTAATACGTTGAAATTAGAAAGTTATACTCTTAGCATTGTGGGCACGCTTTCAATTGACCGAAAAAACTCTAATCGCGAGGGACTATTTCCAGAAGTGATTCGCTAACCTTAGACTTAAAGTCGACTTTTTATGTGACAATTAGGGAAGTTTGACTGTAGGGAGGCCAACGAAGCGTGAGCCGAGAAAGGAAATCATCGAGGCAAAAGTGTTCATCCAGCTGACGACGTTGGCAGCCGTAAAAACTGTTTTCCCCGAGGGGATGAGCGGAGGGGAATCAACTGGTGGGGCGCCAGAGCGACTGGCTTAATGAATCTCGCCGAGCATAAGCCCAGTTCCTTCGTCCAATTGTTTTCGTTTTCCAGGATGCGCCAGCTGTCCCAGCTAATCAAGTGCACTGCCCAAAGGCAGGCGGCGATGGTGGTTAGAGGATGGTGGCCAGGAATGGGTTGTGCTGCTAGTAAGTGGAGCTGGTGGTGGTGGTGCTGCCAGTAGGGTGGTGCTAGGTGGCAATGGGTGGGCGACTGCTTTCACAGCTGCTAGGCTGCCGGCGCGGGTGTAGAGCCACTCAAAAATGTTAATTGGACGAAAAATGTTAATCTCACTCGTCGGTGAGATGTAGGATAAAATTAGCATTGATTTAATGATGCAAACTATGGGGGGAAGCCAACCAAAGAGATTTGTCAGATAGACACTGAATCTTGAGAACTTTTGACTTGAAGTCATCAAGTAAAAGGAATGCTCCCTAATAAACTGACTGCAGTGTTTAACTTCACTGATTTTCCTTGAATTTCATTTAACAAAAGTTATTTTCAAGAAAAATTCTTTGGAGCGAAGCTAAAATAGTTGAAAAAGATGCAAATTGTAAACCAGTTCAGCCATTAAAGAGTTCGATTTTTATGCGTAACAAATCCTACAATAGTATATGAGACAGTTAAAACTCTCCTCTGACTACTAAGTCTTTGAAAACTTGTATACTCTTATTCGCCTTTTTACCTTCTATAATTTAGAAACCACATTGTAAAATAAAAAAAATTGTTTAGGTCTAGGACTGCTTTTAATTAGCAAGATTTATAAAAGAGTCACCAAAATGACCTCTGGCTTTCTGTGGCCACTTTCAAAGAAGTGAATATTCGGTGAAATTTTTTAGGTATAGACTTCATTAAGTTCGGACTAAATACGTAATCCATAAATGCAATAAGTTTAATAGGGAGAATTAATTGAAGTGTTTTAAAAAACTATATAAAATTTCGTGTACTGTCAAAACATCAGAAAATCAAAGCCTCAAATAATTCCGGTTGAAGATGGTTTATAAACAAAGCCATTGGGTGAAACTTTTACCGATTTCTTAATATTATGATATTTTAAGTCATTAAGGTTTTGTGTACAGAATCGTCTTGGTAAGATCTCTTCAATAGTGCTAAGTTTGAACTCGCCAAACCATTTCATTAGGGGGACTCACCTGCGTAGATGGCCTCAATAATGATGTCCTCCAGGTGACGGACGTTGTCTATCTCCAGTTCGCTGAGCAGCAGGTCGTAGGGAATGCTCTTGGCCTTGATGGCCAGTGAGACGATGGTCAGGTGCTGCAGCTTTTTCTGCATGGCGGGACTCAATTCGATGTATTTTTCCGGCTGAGCGCGGAATTCCTTGTAGGTTCCGTAGGCGAATAGGTTCAGCGTCTCGAAGTGCTTGACATTCGGGCCGTCTTTCAGCTGTGTGTGTTTCAATAAGTTTTAAGAGGTCAGAAGGCCAGAATGGGTTTGATTAATATAATATACCTGCGATACGGATGGCTCCGCCAGTAGCTCGCCAAAAACAAAGACATTTGGGGCTTCCAGGGCCTGGCGAATCACGTCCAGCAAGGCGACTCCTTCGGCCGACTTCGCCAGGACGCAGAACTTCTCCAGGAACGTCTCCTTGCTCTTGCTCGGCTCCTCGTTGCCAAGCAGCATGTCCTGGGTCATTTTGAAAGCGGTGATTTACTTAATTTACGCCGATTTTTAAGATTGTTTTGGTTTTTATTAGAACAAGCAGTGTGACCGCTTCTCGACTGTTAAAATATACCATGCCGGCACTTAAAAATATACTAGATTGTATTTTCATACAACTTCACGAATTCAGATAAATTTATAATATACAACTATTGAGCTAAAATATTTTTTATATTTAATTCTTTATTTAAAGACCGTAAGCTCCAGAAGGAACAATTATTTGCTAAAGTTTTTATACACACCATGTAATTAAAAACTTTTCTTTTAAATTAAGGTATCAAACTGCAGACGAGCTATGGTGTTATCGAGTTAAGGGCTAAACTCATATTTTAGATAGGGTTACCAAAGAAAAATAGTGTAGTTAGGAGGAGTTTCGACCCAGGTTGCTGGATTAACTTAAAATTTGGGACATTTTTGGGGTATTCTGATACAATCACCGCCAAAAAATGGCTGACAGAAAAACACCAGTTAAGCAATCGATAGCTAAGTCGATGGAAAACTCAAGGAAGAATAAATTTTTGTATTGCGCTTTTTCACCAATATACCAAAAAATAAAGTAAATACCAAAAACGGTCAGCTTAAATTATTGACAAGGCTGGCTGCTATGAAATGGCGCGGCAAGTTCAAGCAGAACGAAATTTGAAATATATATAAAACATTTTAAATCTTAAGTTCTACGTAACATCATCCACAAATGCCAACCTTTTCATTATGCTTATGATTATTTTATGTTCTTCTGGGATATCAACTCCTCCCATTCTTTGTTTTTCCAGATAAAAGCCAACCATTTACACTCACCTCTCGAAAATGTTGGTCATTATGCTTTAAGCCGGGTATCCTCATTTTAAAACACTTTTCGCACAACATTTACCAGCCAGCACACACAGACACCCCCCTGGGGGTTGTAAAAGAAACGAAAAAAGAAAAAAAGAAAAGGATAGGATAGGATGAGTATAAAAAATATATATTCCTTGAGCCACTTCAGGCTGCCAAAACTTTGCTCCAGCCACACTTCTTATTATTGCCTTCGGGTAGGGGCCAATCTATATGTATGTATGGGCGCAGGGTCAAAGTTGAAAACCCTTTATTGTGTCTGGGGGTTGGCGTGGGTGTGGTGCCACCTTCTCTATATGGGATTCGCCTGCTCATCGATTATGAAAAGTTAACTAAAGGTCAGGGCCCCTTGGGGACGCACTCAGAAATCTGCGGAAAAAGGTGAGACGAAGCCTTAAAGCCACTTTGTCGGTTTTAAAACTGCCCTTCACCACACACTGTCTCCATTATCCCAGCATATTTTCAGCTCTTGTAGTTGTGCCATTCGTTTCAGGTGACTACTGCAATACCGACACTTGAACAGAAATTGACCGGACTGTTCCGCAATTTTTCCAATTGGATTGGCACCGCCTACCGCCTACCGCCTACCGCCCACAACCCCCTCACATTTTATTGGATTTGCCAAATTTGGCCAGTACGCAACCATTACAAAATTGGTTGTGACTTTGTTTCCGTTTCGACCGTTGTTCGGCAGCAGATTTTTGGCTTCGGGCCGAAATAGTGCATGCGGTACCGGCCCTTTTTCCTGCGGTGACGGCTCGTGGAATTGCATCCGTGATTAGTTTGCCATGGAAGCTCGGAACATTTTCGGAATAAGCCAAATCGCACTGCCCTCTCACTCGCATTTTGCGGCCTGCGTGTGGGAAGTTTCGAAAATCGCGGATTTTCGCATTTCTACCAAAAAAAACCCTGGGGCCATTCTTGCTAAGTTGGTTGCTGGAAAGAGCACTGAAGTTCAGCGGGTGGGGTTTTGAAAATTGCTATAAACTTCCACAACTAGGGAACAGTAGAATCCCAAGTCCTAATACCCTTTCAGTCATATTGAAAATTAATGACAGCGTGCGCTGCTCGAAAATAACGACAGCTTCAGGATATGGTGAACTCAAGGAATGTACTCGTTTCCATGAAAGCTATAGGATATAAATGTCCGATCCGCAAGTCTTTTTAAGATGAAACTAATCATGTAAAATAATTTATTAATAATAAATAAGTAAAATACTATTTATAAAGTTCTTTGTTTATATGTAGCTCTTACACAGATTGCAGATATATGACAGATATGTAGGATTAATTATAAATTTAAGATTTTTAGTTTGTTTATATCTTTGCAGATGGTATTATAATTTGGTCGGAAGTTTGTTACGCAGTGAAGAAGACATTTCCGATCCTATCAATCGCCTTTTTATATGAATATTCAAATAAATGTTTTTGATACTTTGATACTGATGGTTAATGTGTGTCTACATCCTATAGTTGTCATGTATCTAACATACTATTCACGCAGAATAAAGGCTCTCAACCTGCTATTATTACTATGAGTTAATATAGCATTCCGGATCCAACGAGAAAAAAGATATATCCTATAGCTGTCATATTTATATCTGCGCAGGCGATGCTGTCTCCCTTTTCGGTATGACTGTAAGTGTATTAAAACCTTACCTTGCCGAAGTTAACTTCCTTTTTCTTTGTTTTAATGTTAGGAAAGTAATTGCACACAATAGAAACCAATCTACACTCAAAAAATGCCTCCAAGGCGGAGATAAATAGTTTTACAGATAATGTAGTGACAAAAATTTGAATCGCAACAAAATGCTGTTTTCTGCTAGGGGATACATCAATGGATTATGTGGTTTAAGACCGTTGAAAGCCCTGAGAACAGGGTAAACTACAGCAGACTTTCCGCTTTGTCGCCGATTTCCACATTTTTGGAAAGCTCTTTGTCATGCTGGCAAACTTTCCTCGCTCGGCTTCGTGTTCTGCTTTTTTGTGGATTTTACTTTGTCATTAATTTGACGCACAATGAATTGGCAGTTGGCAGGTTGTTCGGTTGTTTTCTGTTCAGTTTCCCAGAATTTCGCTTCTATTTCCGAGATTACTGAACGAAGGCTTTCAATTTAATTTGCGGGTAAAGCATCGCCGTCATTTGCCAAATTCATATACCCCTCTGCCGCTTGGCAACTAAGCTATAAAATTAATTACGCTTTTTCACTTTCGAATCTATCATCGACTCGCACATGTAAATCCTCTGTGAAGCGAGCCCTGCCACGCCCCTCGACCGCCCATGCACCCCGACAATTTGCTTACTAGCCCATAAAAATGTATGAAAATAAAGTATCAAAACAGCTCTAGGGCGCCCAAATGGCCACATAAAAGAACTCAGCCAGCGAACGCGCCCCGCATGCAAATGTCTGCTCGGACTCCGCACTGTTATACGTACGCGGCCATGGGGCGTATAACAGTGTACTAAAACGTGTCCTTGCCCCTGCCTCGGGACATGGCCACCAGCTGTGTGCTTCACTTCACTTTCGCGTTTGCCTCGCCTTTGGCTTATCATTTTTTATCGGCAGGACAAAGACTTGACCTTCCCAGTGAGTTCGTCGCTTTGCTCATTAGGACTCAAATTGCTTTCCCCGCCTGCGACTGTGTGTGCTGGATCACTCAAAAAAACATTGGAGTGATTGGCGGACAAGCGGTGAATCTATAAATAACTTAAATTACAAGCAAAAATGTACTAATTTTATTTCGGTCAATAGTTATTAATATTAATAGTTGTGCTTGTGGTAAATCGCTCTCAGATTGCTTAATTTTGAATAATTATTTTTTACAAGCCCTTTTAATAATTCACATTTAAATTTTAGCAAAGGACAAGCCCATTTATTTCAGCTACTTATAAGTGTTTTGCTATACTCTATATAAGCAGACGGCTAATAATAATCTTTTCAAATTAGTATTTCTAACCACGTTTTTCTGTGTGTCTTGCCCGCGATTATTTGGCTTACTGAACGTATTGTTATTGCTTCTGGGGCAGTGGGTCCGCTTATCGATGCAAATGACAAGCGGCCGGAAAACTTGAAAACTTGTCCCATTTTCCTGGCACGATGTTAACTTGACCCAAATCGTTAATTTTTTGTCCGCGAAACAAGTTTCCGGACACTGCTGGCCAGAGACTTGGGGAAAATACCTTATAGAAATAAGTCGCAATGAACAAGAGTTTCGGAATCGCTTCATTCAACGAGTGCAGCCGAAGGTTGCATAAAAACTGCTGATAAAAATTCTTTTGCCGGTGACAATTTATCAAGGATTTTCCTTTAGAGGCAAACTTTGTTGCTGAAAGCGCGAGGAAAGAAGCGAAATTGCTTTGGCGAAAGGGAACGAAGCAAGTGAAAATGCCATTTATATAAAGTTCTCAGACATGGACAGCGAAAACGAAATAGAGACACAGAAAGAGAACAGAGATTTAAATAACGAATTCGCCAGATTCCTCCTCCTCGAGTCCCGACCATTCGACATCAAGTGGAGGCCGCAATTAGTCGTCAGAGTGAAGGCAACTTCCAATGGCATTGCAGCGATAACAACGTCAAACCAAATTTCGTCACAGCGCTCATATGCGGCCACAAAGCCACCCAACCGCGAACAGGATATGGAAAACTCGGCTCACAAGCGCCCTGTCCTGGCCACAATTGCGAGTTTATTCGAGCATGGCATATTATTATAACGCTTTTTGTTTATTTGCGCCACCGAGGGAGAAAATCGGGGGAAAACTACTTGGCCACGGGGACGACAAAAAACACGGATATAAACCGATGTTGACATGTGCCAGGCACTAGGAAAACGGGTGCTGGTTGCCGGAATCGATGAGCAATTTGGGGTTTTGCCAACCCACTTGTTGCCAATACAATCAATTCAGCTTGTCGCAAATTATTTGGAGATGCTACACGGGCTAAAACGAGTGAGGACATTTGTGTAACCAGTGACAACCGTTTTTCAATTTCCAAACTCTCTACATATCAGGGAACCAATTTGATTTGCTTTTATATGTTACTATTTTGGTTTGACAACAATAGAACATTTGGCTTAATATCAATATGTCTCCTTTGGTATGGTAAAAATGTGCAATAAATAAACCAAAAATCAATTTTAACTCCCGTCGTAAGACCGATAAAGTATATTAGGCGAACCAGCAGTTTAGCAAACCATTTGAGAAGGTAAAAGACTAAGTTTCTTAGTCCAACTTTGCGAAACTAAG